TAATGGCATCTATATACAAATATGTTAAAATATAATTAGCACCATATACATGAAAACTGCAATGGGTATCCAAAAATAATGATCAAATCTACTATTATAAATATAAATTGACTTGAAATGATCATATTTGGTAATTTTTACTCATACCCTGTATCTTTTAATGCTTATGCTCTGTTGACAATTGGTATAATTTAACTGAATGGAAGCCAAAATACTACTTTGTTTACATTTTGCTACCTCCACTATGTATTAATGCATATTCTGCTACTTTCTTTAACTGTTAAACATCTTAAATGCTCTAAATCCATAAATAAAACGTTATTAAACATGTGTTTCACATTTTTTAAGAATGAAAAGGATATGAATTTCTAAGACATAACATGCCTTTAAGACCCAAATCCTTCACATTAAAAAGGACAAGTCCATTATACAAATCACGGTGTATAAGTTAAGATTTGAAAAATAAGGGTGTTTTATTTATTTGTCAGAACTCAGTATAAACATAGTCCTTTAGTAAATAATATCTGGGATTCAACAAAGCTCTAAATTCATATGCACAACAGTAATGAGATTCTAGAAATATCAATTATGTAGCATTCGTCTATACAAATATGTTTACAGCAACAACAACATGTTTCTCATAAAAGCAAATTTTAAATTTACCTAAATTTATGAAATAAAATTTATGAATAACAACTAGGGGATCTTAACTAGTAGAATCTTTTTCATGTGTTATCTTTCTTGCCAAATAACGAAAAATATTATTGCTGAAAAACATCTTTTGCTGAAAAAGATATCTTTTGCTGAAAAAAAAACATCTTTTGCTGAAAAACCTATCCTTTGCTGAAAATCCTTTCTTTTGCTGAAAAACCAATCTTTATGAAAAAATCTATCTTTTGCTGAAAAACCTATCTTAACATTTTATGTTCATTATTTTAAGTTTAAAATGGAGATTGAAGTCTACAAAAGACCTGGAGCATGGTTTAGTCTTAACAGCAAAAAAAAAGCTAATAAAAACAAAACTGGAGAGATGGAATTGTAAACTCCATTTAATTAAGTCTGTTAAATTATGTAATAAATGTAAAAATACGACTGAAAATTGCTGATCATACAGTAAAATATGAAATATTCTGAACATTTCAAACAACTGCTTAATTCAACAATGAAATCTAACATGAAAATTTAACAAAAATGTCACTAAGTCTTAAAATATTTTGCAATACAATCATAATCATTGTTTCAGATGCATGTTTCACTGTTTTTTTAGCTGTATTTTTAAGTCTGAAAATCACTGCAGCCCTCTTATACAGAAAGAAATTTTGCAGTATTTATTACTTTATTTCTACTGCGTGACTAATGCGGTAAGAGTTATTTTTGCATATTTTAATCTTTATTTGATGATTTATGTGGTTTGTAATTGCCGTTTGCAATGTGTAAATTATTTTCTTTGTTCACTTCACAGTATTTTACGATTAAATACACTTTCAAAGTTTTCATGAATTGGTAAAAATAGTAAATTTTCAGATTAATATGAACCCGTAGGCAAGCCACTTTAACAATTAACTAATTATAAATAAATAGATAAATAACTTTTTATTCCAACATCAAGATGAACCCTCTGCAAACATTCCTTTTAATTTCTCTTTATCCCGAATATCTTTTTCTTTCTGCATATCATCTAAAATCTTAAGTTCTTTTTTCACTGTGTTAGTTAATGAAGGATCAAGTTCTACAACTCTTTTAAAATCCAGTTTAGCCTCCTCCGGGTTCCAGGCACCAATATGGGCTTTACCTCGTCTGAATAAAGCTTTAACATTGTCTGTGAATAGAAAATGAAAACTTTCAATTCATTTTTAACATTTTGACCGTTTTCAAATATAATATATAATGTTTTCAACCAAGTAATTTAGTATGAGCTAAAGAGTACAATATTGTTGTGGGTTTTTCATTGTTCCAATTAGTATTTGAAAATTGGAACAAAATATGTTTGTTTCTTTAATATATTTCCTCTCAGACGTACTCAATAATATTTGGGGGTAAATACCTGCATATTTATTATCATTCTGCATATTTATTATTATTCTATTATCATTTGGTAATATGTTATCATAAACTTTTTTTCAAAACTATTTTGCAGTAGTAATTCTCTTACTTAACTGTATCATTTCATTCTAATATTAAAAGCCAAAAATAATTTACAAGTAGAAATATATGAACCTGTGTCAAATATTTGACAGAAAAAGAAACTGAAAAAAAAACAAGAATTTTTTCTCAATGTTATTTCCTTGAGCAAGAAACTTTACATCCATTGCTAAGTACTGGTTGGTTCCAGAAACAGATTTGAGAGTGTTTCAATAAGCTTATAGAACTAAAATAAATTTGTATAAACTAAAATGTTATTTCATAATACCTATAGCATGAGCAGGTTTAAGCCTGGAATACTTAAGGTTTAAACCTAAAATGGGCAGTCTGTATTATTTTTTTTCATATTGAGAATCATACTGATGAACAACTGATGAATTATATAAGAATTTTATGAGAAAGCAAAACAATGTACTAACAGAAATATAATTTACATTTAGTTTATACAAATTTATTTTAGTTTGACTGTGTTGGAAGCTATAAACTTATTGAAACACTCTCAATTCTTTCCTGGAACCAACCAGTACTAAGCAATGAATGTAAAGTTTCTTGCTCAAAGATACAATGGCTTGCCCCTTGACAGGGTTTGAACCCACGCGGTCAGCAATCCTTAGATTACTAGTCTGACGTGTTAACCACTCGGCCACACCGCCACTATATTTACATTTATGACATCACAATAAGCTGGTCTTGTTTACAATTCTATGATAGGGATTGTTCAAAATTCTTCAAATTTCCTCCTAAAATTTAGTTTACATTAATTTTCCTCTACCCCATTTGCAAAAATATGTTATTTTCCCTCAAATTTAGTGTTCCTATGAAAAAAAGCTTCAATGAGACAACATCCATATTCAGTGGGTGTTAAGCACATATTCATTGTTATGACATAGATGGCGATATAATTTATGCCTGTTTCATCTACGGACACTTACCAGGATCCCTCTTCAGAACTGTACTGGTATGTTCTATCACTGGATAGTACTCATTTAACAACAGTTTACATTGGGAAAAATTTAATAATAATGGAATTTTCTTGTCTTCTATTGCGTGCCAGTCAGGATCGTTTGGTTTCTCCCTGTAAAAGGATATATACAAAGTATATATAAACATGCATATAATCATAATTAATTTTCAAATACTTATTATCACTAAGATCTTTAATGATCAAGTAAAAAAAAAAAGATATTAAGATCAAGTTAAAGTTAGTGAACATTTCAAAAGAAGCCATATCTTTTTTATGATTATACAGTATGTGCTTAAACTTGTACATTGCGCTATAGGACAGTCCAATATATAGAGGATATTGAATGAGTGTAAGTTCAATACTGAATCTATTGCATAGTTGAATAAAATTATATTATGCGAGTCTATTTATCACATACCCAAAATAAAGACAGTTAAAAGTGAAAAAAAAAGGGTCATTTTTCATCGTCGCGCATAGTGTATAACGCTAACATTTAGTGAGTCTTTACGCTATGTATGTATAACGCTAATGACCTCATGTCAAAATATATGCACGGTCGTGCAATACCATTTTTTTGGAGTCGCAAAAATCGGCACGGGTGTGTGATATATTCTCATATTGGACACTGTAGTATCCACTATAATTATCCTATATTAAACACTTGAATAGATACATTTATAACCCTTTTCCATGAAATCTCAAGCAACTATGAAAGCATATCTGGAAAAAATTTCTGACTGAGTTACACTGTGTTTCCTAAATGTAATTCAGATATAGAATAAAAGATTACTTAACATTGTATGGGATATTGCTAACCTTGTACTTAACCTGAGAAATCATATTAGACTGGCTGCTTGTCCAATATGTGTATGGTATCTCTACATATGCACATGTACTTGTACAAGTATATTCCAATATTATAAAGTTCAATGTTAAATAACCAATTATAATTTCACACCTCATAAATACAACCAATACACTTTCAGCATTTGGACCGTGTGATATCCCAATAGAAATCTTTATTGGATCCAATTTAATCAATTTAGCCTTGTTTTTTCAAGTGTCCAAAAATTCCATATCAAATCCATATCACACCATATATAGCCTTATTTCCAGAGTCCAAAAGGTTATATCAAAATCCATATTGCACCCCATCTATTCTTGTTTTCATTTTTGAAGACCAAAATCCATTTCAAATCCTTATTGTAATTTAAGTGACAAAGTTCTGTCAACATGTCAAAAAATGATGGTGTCAAATTAAGAGGTCATCATTCATTGTTGAGAACAATACTGATTCTAATGGACTGACACACAGCTGCAAAACCTATATTAGACTCAGCTTCTGCCTTGTCCAATACAGCTTTGACAGCTATGTACTTGTCCAATAGAATTCTGTATTGGACTCAACAATGTATAATAACAAGTAGCTTCCAACAATTGTGAGCCTGGTCAAACCAGCCTGGCAGAAAGTGTATTTATCATAGACTTTAGCACTCCAACAGTACACATAGTGAATGGTTAAACTTACTTCATTGCCAATTGTTCCAGCAGTCCTATTGCCATTCCATATTTATCAGCAGCCTCTGAGTATTTTTTCTGTTTATAAAGCTCATTCCCTTCCTCCTTTAACTTTGGTACTTTATTTTGTTTCTCCTCATCTGTCAATGTCCATGACTCTTTCTCATACGATCCAGCTTTCTCAATCTTTATCAGATCTGAAACCAAATAAAAACCTATCAAGCCTGTATTCATAACGAAAGTCATACAAGTTCAAAGCTGATCTGTGAATGAAGTATTAATTTATTAAGTTGTGTGTTAAGTCAGGCTGACTCTGGGATATGCCGTTGTTTGAGCAAGTAACTTCATATTCACTGCTTACTGGTTGGTTCCATTAATGGATTTAGTGTTTCTATAGGTGCAGAGCTTCCTAAACAATCCAACTAAAATAAAAAATTCTGTATAAATCAACAAACCTATTGTAAATGATAATGGCTGTGGATTTTTAACAAGCTCGTCAAGATCTTTATGTCCCAGTCCTTGTTCCGACATTGCCATCATGCCACAGCAATGGCTCTTCTCCTCATCGTGTTTTTTCTTGCCGTTTTTACCAAATATCTCTCGTAATTGCTTTGCTACTAACGGATACTGCTCTACTAGCTATATGAATATAAATGAACTTTATGAATATAAAACTACAAATGAGCTGTGTCACGACAAAACCAACATAATGGCTTTGCGACCAGCATGGATCCAGACCAGCCTGCGCATCCGCGCAGTCTGATCAGGATCCATGCTGTTCGCTTTCAGTTTCTCTACTTGTAAAAGAGTTGGTAAGCGAACAGTATGGATCCTGATCAGACTGGGCGTATGCGCAGGCTGGTCTGGATCCATGCTGGTCGCAAAGCCATTATGTTGGTTTTGTCATGACACGGCTCAAATTTCACTCAATAGAGTGTAAATTAATTGAGAAAATTATGATTCACTGAAGTAAACTATCTGATACTTAATGCTCATTTTTTTATCTATTAGTATGTAAAGATTTTTAATTCATCTTAGCAACAATTATTTTCAAAGTTCTAAAGATTACAATAGGACTGAAACAACTGCTGTTATTTTTATTAAGACAATCAAACAAACTTTCAAATATAAATGACTGACTCACATTTGGATAAAAAAAATCAGACCTACAGAAAGATGAAAATATTCAACATAACAACTTATCATAGGATGGTCACATCTGAGCATTTGAGTGTATGTGTAGACTCAGAAAAAATGATGAGATAAAAATCAAAGTCAAATATTACTTTCCATACATTTTTGTGAGCACTTTCATAAGGAATAAAATATTTGTACCAAAAATTGCTGGAAATTTTGTAATTTTTAGTTTTACCTCCTTTGGTTATTCTAATTGTTTCTAAAAATATCATCATACTCTAAACCTGATGACTCAACAACTGCATTACTAGGATTTTCACAAGATCATTGGTATCATGCTAACAGGGCTGGTAAAATCTGACTTTGACTAACTTGTCCATTTTTATCTCAAGCATTTCTTAACTAGTCCGTATGTCTGATATTTATATAGAAAATTCTTGAAAATTTCCATTTACAACATGTATTTGTACAGGCTGTAGGACAACTTGGGCAATACGGACAATTGATTTTGCCACCCCTGATGCATACACAATAGAGTTAATTACCTTGTCTTTAACTACAAATTCAGAAACTTCCTGGAGCCTCATTGATTTCAGACATGCCTCCCAAACTTCAAATTTGAACTTCTTGCCCAAGATAAGTTCCATTGGTTTATCATAATTATGACTGTCATCTATCACTGTATGCTCCTCATCACATTTACATGTTTTGTAGTGAAAGTATAGCTGAAATTAATGTATACATTATGATATTCTGTATCAAAAAGAAAAGACAGGGGTATCAGTGGCCAAGAGGTTAAAGATTGTTGACGTCAAAATACTTGCCCCTCACCACAGTAGCATGAGTATGTTCGAATTCTGCCAGGGACTTTTTATATTTCTATATGTAGGAAAGCTTTAAAAATAGATAGCTTGTGCATGAAATATTATGCATTAAGGCATTTAATTATTCTTTGGAATCAGCTACCAAATAATATTGTTAGCCCACATGCGGTGACATTCAGAAAAAGGCATATCCTAATATGAAATTTGGCAAAGCCTATATGAACAGGGAAGTCGGTTAAAAAAAAATTGTTTCTTAGTCGGAATACCCTGCCCGCCTATTATCATTGAGTTACATTGAAAAAAGTGGCGCCCAACTAGAAATGTCACTGAAAATTTCACTGATAGGTTAAGAAATTTATATATTTTTAATTCATTTTTTAAATTTTCTTTTAAATAAACACATAAAGTCTATTACTCTATAGCCCGGCAAGCCAAAGCCTGGGACTGACACCCCCCTAATATCATTTCCTGCTGTGGTTATCCAGGGATGGATTGTTGGATGAATGGATGGTTGGATGAATGGATGGATAGTGTATATTTCGAATATAAAGGGAACATCATTATGATGACCTGACAAATAGGATTAAAACCATAATTTACTTCAAAACTGTAAATCTGATAATTATAGTTTATGCCTAAGTCACAAATGACAAACAGCTGATTGGCGGCGCCTATTTCTAAAAAAATCGTAATAAAGGCTAGTGTTCATCCGGCCGCAAACACAATCTGACAAATCGAAAATTCAAAAAGTCATCTGGCAGGGATCGCGGCTGGGCAATGTTTTTTTGATCAGACGATTGTTATTGACACAAAATCACCATCCAACTTAAAAGGCACCCGGGCCCGGGCCCCATCTGGAATAGACACCAGTTGGCGAACAAGTATCGCCCGTTACCCGGAAGATTCATGTACAGGCACTGGGGGGGTCATCGTTTTGTCATATGATGATCACACGGCTTGACTTTGTTGTAATTATGGCAAGTCTTTTGTAGTTGCCTAAAAATGTATCTGTGAATTCCTTTGGATTAAACATAATGTATACTTTACGGTTAAGCAAGAATGTCTACGCGAATTATTATTAAGGAAAAGGCAAACTAAAATTGTTGCATTACATATATCAGGGCTTGAGCTAGGGGGCGACTTAGGCGAAGAAGTCGCCTTCGGATCAGGGACTTCGCCTAAAACAAACTCCAAAGCGATTTTGAAGTCGCCCGATTTTTTAGTGATCTGTCATACTTTTTACGACGCTAGGTCTGTTAACAATTTATTTACTTCTCAATTACAACCAATCACTGTTAATCCGCTAGTTAAAAACGCGTGTCAACATCAACAAAGTGTAATACCAGTCTTCGAAATTAACGCCAGTCCACTAAATTTAGCATCGGTCTGGTGATTATTGCAAGGTTGGTGGTCAGACGGACCAGTAGATTCTTTTGTCATGAAAAAATATTATAAGAAAAATTCATCAAAATAATGAAGCAGGGTTCTCTAAAAGATTGATCTTTTTGCCTTTTTTGCAAATGAAACCCATCAATTCTGTCCTAATTGTTCAAAACACTGCGAGAGATGTCTAATTTGTATTGAGTAATGGAGGCCGCCATTTTTTTTCTTGGATTTCCCTACCGCACCGTACAGTTACGGAAATTAAACCATTGTTTATTTTGGTCATTATTGTAACTAGAGGTTTACTGGTACGAAACCCAGGTAATCCTCGCATGTATCAGTGCTATACACTGGGCATGTAAAAGAACCAAGGAATCTATTCAATAAGAGCTAGGGACTGGTTACTGGATTTCCTTGTATCTCATAGCTGTCTCTAGTGTCTGCTGAGGTAAGGACCCTACTGGAAATAAGTGCTTGCACTTTCGTAGGTTATCCTTGACTGCCCGGTCTAAAGAAAATCAATCAATCAATCAATATTTAGCTATGAATTTGTGATTATTGAGTTAAGTAAATATTTTGTGTGAAAGTGATTTGTTTAAAGCAAATTGCGTTGTTCATGTTCAATTCTAGTCAATTTTGCCTAAACATTTGGTCCTTAAAGATTTTTCAAAGCTGTCAACATATGGCCCTGGCAGAATACAAGACATATTATGCTTCTTTCAAAATTATCAAGGGAAGCATGATAAAGTGTTTTCCTGTTTCCATCAATTTTTTACCTATCTATGTATTTGGTCCGGCTAAAAATCACCAGGTCCAGTAAGATTTGATATTTTACTGGCCCGAATGTCCTGTGCTTTTTAAAGTTTTTCGTGTAGACTGTAATACACGCCGCAAGGCAAGAGTTCACTATGTAGATCATTCTCATTATGTATTCATACGATTGACGATTCAGAACGCGCGTTATTTCTGCGACAGTTTGCATTGACCAATCAGCGACACACTAACATACTGCGTCTATTTGTTGACAATTACACAAAATGGCGACAGATTCAATCAATTTTCGCCGATTGCATGATTAAAGACACCTGCATGTACATAATTGTTGATAATTGTTGAAGTGTTTTGACGAGTAAAGATAAACAATGCCCAATGTCTTAAAGGTGTGAATATGATCGAAAACTTGATTGTTAAAAACCTTTTGGAGCACTAATCTGTTGAAATTAACGATATGTGAAGATTTGTATCTAATATTTTATTAGTACATTGAACTCCGTTAAGTTAACACGCTGATAAATTTATACAAAATTAAAGTGTGAAGGGTTTCTGATTTCTTTTCTGGTTTGTAAAGTTTCCTAGCTTATAATTCTCCAGATGATGACGCCTTACATGTCTCCCAACTTCTCCCTAAAGTCTCCTCACTTCTCCCTAAATCAGCTGGAGGGAGAAGTCACTTCTCCCTAAAATTTTGACCTAGCTCAAGCCCTGATATATGTTAGTATTTTCTTGGCCTTCATCTTGTCTCTATCAACTGCCTTCTTTGCTGGCATATTGACCACTGACTGATTTTTAAAAGAATATCATGACATGCTTAACCTTTATCGCCTGGCGCCCAAAGGCTAACTGTCAGATTCACTCACAATTCGCACTGACGCCATAGGACAGCAACCCCCCCCCCCACCCCCACTTGACTGCTTTCTTTAACATCAATTTGATAAATAATGGACCGGCAACAGTTTCATTCATGACCACGCAAGGTTTCAGATTTAAAATTGCTCGGCGTTCACTAGTTCTGGCTTCCATAACTTTATGTCGCTTTTATTTTGACGTTGCTGTCACAGTATCTTTGTCTAGGCGTTCAAGAAAATTATTGTCAAAGCCGTCGATATTGTGACCTAGACATAATGACAATGTGTGTTACGCTAGGTTTATACGCGGAAAGTCCGAGCGGGGCCGGAGGCCCCGCGAGGGCTGTAGCGCTCTTAGATAACATGTATGACGCGTATCAGTTTAAAGGAAATCAAATTCAAACTATATGAAAATTTCAAAAAAATATATATCCTATACCTAATGGGCTGCGAAAAAATCCTTAGTTAACTGGGCGCCGCCATTTTGAAATCCTTTTGAACGCTTTTAATGAGCGTCTACATAATTCAGACTATTGCAGACGCATGCTTAGTAACACTTCCGGTGAAAGAATGATGTACAAAATCAGAAAATAAACCTGCATTTCATTGATAAGAATTATAGTAACGACTATAAATATAAAAAGTTATTCAAACATATCCTTTTTGATAAATTAGCACATTAAAAATAACGTAAAAACAACAACTGTGATTAGAGATTAACAAAAATGGCGGACGGGATTTTCCAAACGCCGACGCATGCGCAGAGGTCCGGAGTTTTTCGGAATAGGCCGAGCGTTTCCGGTGATAGGTTGAACACCACCAATTTATACGTTTTGTTTATTCAAAAAAGATCTGGTTTACAAGTACACTAAATATGTTATGCTAAAATCATAATTCATAAGAGCTTTCCGCGCCATAGGTAGCACCTAATTTCATATTACTCTTAATATAAGAATGTCATTGCTGTTTTTGGCTATACATTATCGAAGATTAAACCCGGATAAATTGAAAATGAAGTCAACCGTTAATGTGCCATAATTTGCATAATTTGAACTGCCACTGGTATCATCCATGTTCCCCTACACTTTATTTTTTTTTCTGGAATTATTTTCATATTTAGTTTCTTAAAACGCTCAAAACTTTTGCAGATGAGAAAATAGCATAAATACCTTTGTTCCATCTTCATAATCAGGTGCATCTCCTTTTCCACCGTGCAGAATCTTCTTTTGAATCCCAAGATTTGCTAATGCGACAACGTAGTCCGCCATGTTTGTTTACATTAGGTAATGTATAAATATTGACGAATAATGCGTACATCGTCTGCTAGTCATCACACAGTTTGAGTGTGAAATCAGAATCGCCTTGTATTATGAAAAGGTGTTATTTGCAATATTTTTAGTCTTTTTGAATGTAGTATTCAACTGGCATAATCTAAAATCGACAACAGTGTCACACAGCCTGCTCTTGAAAATTGTCACAATAAATACTGATGCATGGCATGAAAACTTTAAATTGATTATTTCACAACATTATTCAAACATTGAGAGAAGATCCAAAACTATTCACAATATTAAAGCCTTTACTTAAAGCAAAGGTTTTCTAAAGAACAATTTATTCAAGTACTAGAAACGCAGTACAGTAAAACCCTCTGTTAAGACCACTTACAGGACTGAACCAATGTGGTCTTAACTGGGTGTCGGTCTTATTTGTGGATATTAAAGGTAACATAATCAAAGTCTTATTTTGCTCATTTTGTATGAAGATGTTCCATCAATATGTATTATAACCTTCAAATGCTAAAAAAGATGTTATAATATTTAATATCTGATAAGAGCAGGTTATGATTTGAAGAAATTTAATTTTCAAGATAAAATTGTCATTGGTCCAGTTTCAATACTAAATGATGTACACAATTCACTTATCAAATATGAATTAAATTCTTAACAAAATAAATGTGCAAGAAAAAACAATAAACCACTTGGAAATTGATTATTTTGCCTTGCTTCATTGAATACTTTTTTTGTTGGGTTTTACATCGCAACAAAACTTGTGGTCTTAGTAGGTTTTGACATTATCATGAATGATCTGAAGAGACAAATAAAGACTATAACAATGATCTTAAGAGACAAATAAAGAATATAACAAAGAACTGGGACTGAAACTGGTGGTCCTAAAATTGGATGAGCAAGTTAATAATAGGCCTAAGTCTTATTATTGTTGATCAATTCCATAAGAAAAAAAGTCTGTTCTTCTAAAGAGGTCTTAATAATGGGGTTGTTTTTATTCTGAGGTGGTCTTAAGGTTTATACTGTATTTTCTTACACCCAAGTTGTAATATATTGACTGGCTAGGTCAGCTAGTATTAGCCACTAGCTGATAAGCCCCACCTAAATTCACCTCTCTGTAGTAATATTAGTAAATAGATTTAGAAACCGAATGGCTGCATTGTTCAATCTCTCTACCGATGACTGTCCAGTAACTATGATATAGCAGACATTACAGGAGTACCGATTCTCTTAAACTTATCTTAATTGATTCTTATCCGTTTGAGGGGACATTATATATTTTTGTAATTATTGAGGAATTATAAACCAATTCAAATGGATAACCCAAGATTCACATTGCCTACACATATTGTAAATATCTGATTATGTCAAAAAGATACGGAATTAAGACAAGTCAATTTTATTTGTCACACAATGATAGAAAAATTAACTATTGGAACAGTTAAAATTCTCTTTTTTAGTGAAATCATGTTTGGACTGAAACCACCTTGATAGTGGTGTGATTCGATCAAAAACATACAGGGCTTCAGGTCTACCCTTGCGACCAAGCGCCTCCTGCTTTAAGTTTTGCTGAACAGTCTGTACATGATTTACATACAGTGACCCTAGGGTCTAAACCTGTCGTGACCAAGCGCCTTCCCCTGTAAGTTTTGCCTAACTGGCCTTACATAGTATATATACAGAGACCCAGGATATTAACCAGGAGAGTGATATAAGGTTCATTCCATTTTCTTCAGCTTATAATCAACTTTATCTTTAGATATATATAGAGCAATGTTTAATCCAGTAATCAAATCCTTTTCACCCTTTAAAGCTACATGCCTCCATATGAGCCAAAATATTTCGATAAAATCAAACTTGAGAAAAATGTACTTAGATTTTAGGAAAAGTAAAAATATTTCAGATTCAAGTAATTATTTACATGTTTTGTGCAATTAATGAATGATTTTTCAGTATTTGTAACTATGTTTCTAGTGCGTTACTAACGCAGTAGGGGTTATTTAAGCAATTTTTAAATATGTTTGGTAATTTATATGGGTTTAAAGTGCCATAGATAATGTGTAAATTGCTCCCTATTGGTTTCTTGACGATATTATTCACTTAAACACATTTTCAAATTTTTCATGAAAATAAGCATGAATCTGGAGGCGTGCTGCTTTAACAAGATGAAAATAATAACTAACCCTGTCGTCATATGATGGTATTTTATTTATTTCTATTTAAAATATGCATGATACTGAAATTTCTACAATGATTTACAGTAATGTATGCAAAAATAATAATCACAAATTTACTTATATGATACAATGTAACAATTATTCAATAACAAAAAAAAGTACCTGTGACAAAAATAGAATGAATAAACATCGGCAACACATGCAGATATATATAAATGAGCCGCGCCATGACAAAACCAACATAATGGGTTTGCAACCAGCATGGATCCAGACTAGCCTGCGCCTCCACGCAGTCTGATCAGGATCCATGCTGTTAGCTATCACTTTCTCTACATGTTATAGGGTTTGTAAGCGAACAGCATGGATCCTGATCAGACTGCGCGGATGCGCAGGCTGGTCTGGATCCATGCTGGTCGCAAACCCATTATGTTGGTTTTGTCATGACGCAACTCATATATTATCACCAATACTAGATTACAAAATTAATGGAAGCAACTTTAACCATACATGTACAACAACAAAATATACACTTTTTATTTTTTCTATCTAAATGAATATGTCAATCAAATTTACTTTTAGTCTTGTCTATAAAAATAAAATTCTATGTACCTAAAAAAAAGAAGTAAATCATTTGGACGACACATACCATTTTACAGTATGACTATATACTTCATAGAATGATGGATACATGCTAGGATATTTTTCTTCCTTTTTTTACCCCGTAAGATAAACTTAAACTTACTACAGAATTTAGAATATTTTGGGTTTTCTCAGCTAATCCATGAGTAAAAGTTTAAACTTTGCAAATTAGGGGAACAGGTTGACGAATCTATTGTGAACGGCAGTGCCCGTGAAGCTATTTTTGGTAAAAAAAAATTGTACCACAGGATTAGCCTAGAAAAACCCACATTTACGGAGCTCAGGATAACATTTGAGCCGTGTCACAACAAAACCAACATAATGGGTTTGCGCTTCTTCGCTTACAAACCCTATTACAAGTAGAGAAACTGATAGCGAACAGCATGGATCCTGATCAGACTGCACGGATGTGCAGGCTGGTCTGGATCCATGCTGGTCGCAAACCCATTATGTTTGTTTTGTCATGACGCGGCTCATTTATTGTTTCTCATGCATTACTTGAATATAAGCCTAAAATCTTCAATAACATGTTGCTCAAGTAAAAATAGAAACAGAACTGTTAATCTTCCTATGAAAATTGCATTAGTTGTCCAGCTTTTTTTGTGTAAACTTTTCATCAAAATATAAAAATATAATAGTTGTGCACCAAGAAAATAAAAGTGGCAAATATTTCGTTGTTCTATTGTATAATAACATACTGGATATAATTATGCTTGATACAGGGTATTAATTATAATAATGATTACAATACAAAGTGCAATATCAAATTAATAAAATAAACATTTAAAAAAAGAAAATGTGAGCATTTTATAAGGAGAGACGACATGTAATAATGCTTTCATTATTAGTAAACCAGTGTTATTATCAGTAAACCAGTGTTATTATCAGTAAACCAGTGTTAATATCAGTAAAATCGGGTTAGTCTGCTTATATACAAAATAAATAAGTTATCCACCTCACCTCACTCCCCCCCTCCCTAAGAGTCCTGAATTTCATGAAATTAACATTTCAGACTAATTGGCAAGATTAAACTCTACTTTCAGCTCAGTTCAATTCATATGCTAACATTTTTTTCTTCTCGAAAATCTTCAGCTAATTCACGAAATTTTCTCCCTCTAAAAAATTTCTGTTTTAATGGTAATTAATCATTTAACATGTACCTTATTTAATATCTATCTTTTACTTAACATATAACTTATTTAATATATTTCTTTTCCTTTGTGACCATATCAATAATAAACAAATCCTATCGAGGACTTTGGATTCTTTCATGTGATAATGCATATCGTTCTTGCTTATGAAAGGTCATAGGTTCTACTCAGGAGCCCAATCAAGCCTGCAATAATGCATGGTCCGACATCTGAGGTCTTCTTCCAGCAATAAAGCTTGAAAGTCCCTATATTACACTGACATAGTTGGTGTGCCTTAAGCCCCCATCATTTTCAGTTTGTTACTCATTATTTGCAGGTTGAAGAAATGTTAACAAACATAAAAGCTGACATTACTTTTGTAATATACCTTGTAATATAGGCCTACCCGTCAACTGAAAAAGCCGAATGTAGCCAAAGAATTTTTTAATTTTTTGTGTGGATTTTAAGAATTTATTCATAATTATACTAACAAAGGAATATCTAATACAAGGATCATACTTTAATTACATTAAATACAAAAATTTGATACAGATTTCATCACTATCTCTATGATATTTCTAGGTATCATTACCTATTACAACAGTTTATATATTCATTCATGTAATCAAAACAGAACATATAATTGAGCCGCGACATGACAAAACCAACATAATGGCTTTGCGACCAGCATGGATACAGACCAGCCTGCGCATCCGCGCAGTCTGATCAGGATCCATGCTGTTCGCTTTCAGTTTCTCTACTTGTTATAGGAATGGTAAGCCAACAGCATGGATCCTGATCAGACTGCGCGGATGCGCAGGCTGGTCTGGATCCAAGCTGGTCGCAAACCCATTATGTTGGTTTTGTCGTGACACGGCTCATATATTTATTTTACAAAATAGGAAAAAGGTACAAAATGTTCTATATACATAAGCAGTTTAAATAAAAGAAATTGCACCTGATATAAATTATTTAACCTTTCAATTGCTAGCAATGACACCCCTACAGAAGTAAATGGGAAGTTCAAAATACAAAGCAGGCCAAATCCATTACACAAATTTAGCATTTGAGGGTTTAAATTTAAATTCCAACATTATAAACTTAAACTTTTTATGTAATAATCTACTATCAGAAAAACTTAACACTGGTTCCCAGTAAATGTAGCCTGGACTCCATTCTCAATTCCATTTTTATCCATTGGTGATTTAAGTAATAATTTTTAGACTCTTTTTAAAAATGATTGATTGTAACTTCACTCAAGAGTTATCAAAGCATAGAATTTTAACTGACAAAAACAGATTAAACAAAAGTTGTAGTTTTTAGTATATGTAAAATTCCACCTGAATATAATATTTCTCTACAAACTATTCCTACACCAACTGTGTAATTTTGATTATATCTACGTCTTTCTCCCCCTTTGACGTCTCTATTTTAAGACTAGTGAATAGTAAACTGACAGCAAAAAATCATTTTAATTCACTGAACGGTAATCAATTATTATCAATTTCCCTAATATGCCCCATTCCCCGTCCCCTCCCCAAAAAATAAACAATTTCCAAAAATATAACATTTTCCTGCGATTCTATATAACTTAAACATGTATTAGGTCATTCAATACAAAATCACCAAAAAATAAACTTTGAAAAGAAAAGTTTTAATTTCTATAAACTAATATCAAACACACTTTCTATTAATTCATGGAATGTTCATATACGCACACTATACAGTAAGAACAAACAAGTTTAAATTAGCTGAAAATCAGAAAATTCAAAGCAACACTGACCCAACAAGGTGAACTCAAGAGTTACTGACCCTGATGAGCATGAATGCCACCTGACACATTGGTATTGTCTTAATATAACAGAAAACACACTCTCACCTGATAAAAAATGTACTAAAAATAGATATTATCAAAACTCTCAAAAAATGGCAAGAGCAGTTTCGAGTTTATTACAATATTAGTTAATATTGAACAATGGCTCTATACTGTGGGGGCTGTTCAAATTCTAGCTTTTCTTTTAACACTAACTATTAACCCTGATCACACTAAACATCTTAAATGGACTCATCCATCTTTAAATCTGGACATAACAATTCATCATTTTTAGCACAATTTCAAAATGAGAATCTACTGAATAAAGAGACAGTGCAGAACATGATCAGATGATATGAATATGCAGTGCAGTTAGCATGGGTAGAATCAGTTGCTGCTATCAGGCTTAGCGATAATGGACTGTTCTGAATTCAAAGCAGGGAAAATGTTTAAAGCTGCACGGAATTCAAAGCAGGGAAAAGAGTTAAAGCTGCACGGAATTCAAAGCAGGGAAAAGGGTTAAAGCTGCACGGAATTCAAAGCAGGGAAAAGGGTTAAAGCTGCACGCAACCACAAGATTAACCACAAAATTCAACCAAAATCAAACAAAAGATTTAAAACAAAAAAAAAGCTTATGAGACACTTTAAATGTCACAGAATTTACTATTTTTATCACAATTTTTTCTTTATAAATTTAGAGTGGACTGTTACTGCATATAAATGTATTGCCAAATGTTAAATATAACTTCTCTGGGCAGTAAGTACATGTTAGGCTTGTTTAAATAACATTCTTTGTAATCATGACAGCAAATTTATAAATTAAACAATTTTTGAACTTTAACAGAAATTTACATGATTTTATATGTGCAGCTTTAAACGAAGTGACAGCAGTGTTCCATTGAATTTTCAAATAAGTATCACACAAAAATAACTTTCGTTTGTTTGTTTGTTTGTTTGTTTCATTTTACGCCTTTTTCCAACAGTATTTCAGTCATATAGGCGGGTAGTTTCCTAACCATCGTTCCTGGAGAGTTACACCAGTACTAGACTACCATCCTCCGCGCTAAACAAAATAACTTTCACAATTGATGGCAAACAAGATATTTGTTCTCTGCTAGTGTTCTTATTTAATTTCTTATGAAATACATGTATGATCATCAGTTAAGAATCTAATATATAAACAATATATAATGAATATTACACAAAAAATCAAACATGATGCTCTAGACACATATTGTTTATCAATTCATTACAATAATACAGCACTGAATGGAAATATTCAAGATTAGGCCATAGGAAAACAAATTTAGACTCTTAAAGATGAGAAAAAAAATAATCTTTAAACAAAAACTGGAGAAAAAATATATTCATAGGAAATATATAGATATTTACAATCCAGGTGACACAGTAAATATCCAGGTGACACTTTGAATATTCAAACAAAATATGACTAAATTACTCTTTTTCTCTTTTTTTATACAGAAATTCTACCCCATCAATAATGGAGTAAGAGAAATTTCTGGATTTGCTCCTAAGTCATTAACAACAGAGACAATCAAATTCATTGAGGGTGGGAACTTTCAGATAACGTAAAAATATTTAAAAACAAAATAGAGAATAACAAGAACTTTGGTATGTTTATAAGTGAGAATGTACATAAGATAACAAAAATGTATATAAAAACCTCTGCTTGACATTATAACAAAAGATAAAGAAACAAAGACATTTTTTATAACTGCTCAACACTTTAAAAAAAGAGAGCGTTTTTGAGAATAACCGTTTAAAATTTAACCATAATAAACTTTATTTTGCAACAAAAAAAACCTACTTAATACTGACTGATTGAAAGATTACTATAATATTTAGACATCTACATAAACTATATCCCTATAGTTAAAGCAAAGACAATTTAGTAACATTTTTATCATAAATTATACCATGTCAAAGTCAAAATGGAAACGACCAAAAATAAGACAGTAGAAATATGTCTATTTAACCCATAACCTGCTGAAATGTTTTAGTAGCCTTGCTCAACTTTCGTTTTTGGAACTGTCTATTATCCAGTATGGGGATATCAGGATCAAAATTTTAAGTTCACCAGCAATGTAAAGCCTGGCCCAGTGTTCACTAAGTTTTTAAGGATCACGAACAAATTAAAAAATTCAAATATTCTTCTTTGTTTATCCTTATTGGATAAATATTTAATTTTAACTTGATAGAATTAGACTTAAAATAGCATGTTTATGGAATTTTAGAAGGAATTTGTTGTTATTAGTCAAGATATGGGCATTTTACAGTTGATCCAAATATTGATTCAGATCCTAAAATTGATTTTTATTTTTATTTTTTTTCCATTTGTTTTGTTATTCAATAATATCATCTTTCTGTGCAAATCAGCAAATTTTTACATTTTGTTTATGTACATGTACCATTTAATTTCAGGAAAATACGATCAATTTTAGTTTTATAGAACAATGAAAATAAAATCAGGATCATTTTATCCTGATCCTGTGAACACGGGGCGATGTAAGACTGCAAGGAATGTGCATGCTGGTCTGGATCTAGACTAATCACTTTCTGTTCCAGCAGGGAAAAGATTAAGACATAAACTCAGTAGTATAAAAGTTACATATCATCTTATCTGGAATAATGAATTTCCCTAACAATTGTTATATATTATAAACAAGTGAGTATTGAGGAACATATATTTAGGACATCACATTGTCTAAGAAACAAACACACAGAGTTATTTCCCTTGTTAGTATGTTCAAAATGACTTGAGCTTTGGAATTGTGACAATGGAAAATTGCAAAGGATCAGGGGATTACAAGACAAAGGGAGATAATTTGAGGCAGCAAAATTTTTTTACGATAAACAACAATGTATTTTTTTTAATGAAACATAAAAACTGACAAAATTATTGAATCGTTTACCTACAAGGATTGTAACAGATAATTCATTCATGCATAAAGGAGAACTGCTTGATTGCAATTGTCTAAATATAAAAAGGTATTCTCAAAATAATTAAAAATTTAGAAGTAAATACTGTATATATATACTGACAAATTACAGTTGAGTTATGGACCCTTGTACATATAGCAGCCTTTCTACTGATAACAAATATGTGAATGATTCTTTAATTTCATTGCTCTATAGATACTTTGAACATTGTGCAGACTTCATATAAACTTTAACGTTTAATATTTCGTACTTAAAAAAGGGCTTCAACTCTTTCACAAATTGAAAGCTATTAAAGGCACTCCACTGAGGTTCAAAAGCTTAAATACATAAAATTTGAAATTCTTACATATATCAAGTGGGGCACTTAAAATAGAAAAGTATGCAAATACACCCTGAAATGAATTGAAAAAGTATTTTTTGTGCTTTCCTTAGCCCATTTTAAGTGAAGTGTTGCAAGGTTTTTCAATTTTGGGTTACTTTCTTAACTTCACAAATAAATAATTATTCTGGAAAAAATGGAGTGAGCAAATGATTTGAACGTAAATTTTACACTTAAGTTACTGGTCTAGACCTACATGAAACTGAACATAAATCTCAAAAACTTATTCTCAGTCTATACATGGCAAAAAACCTAGGTGGAGTCCCTTTAATTTCTTCTCTTACACTCAACATTCATATGGGGGTTCAACAATTATTAATCTGTACTTTCAAAATTGGGCTAAAACTCTTAACAATTTGCGAGCTTTTTTTCTGTCATTAAACATTCATGTGGACTTCAACATTTAATATCTTAAACTAATAAAAAGGATTTTATCTTTACTTTTATTTCTGGTCATTATTTATAAAATTATTTAACAATCCAGCTTGTAACCGAGACATGTATGCTTAACATGTTTCATAATAATTTTCTAACAAACTAAAACAAAAAAATAAACACCATGCCATCAATGTTCAATAATCTATCATCTGTCCACTACTGTTCAACAGTATTAGAATATCAACTTTTGTTAATTTTCTTTCATCTTTTTATAACGAATGCATTGCGATACAATAAATACGACTTAATCTGGAAATATTACAGTTAGACGTTAGCAGCATTTGCCACCTTTCGGCTTTTTTGATTTACCGCCTCTACTATCTAGTCGTATTCGGTCTTGAGGTTGGTCGGCGACTCGCTTTTGTTGTTCCTTCTTGGTTTGTAAAACTAATTTTGTGATTGCAACAAACATCTGTTGGATGAGGAAAAGAGTACTTGTAAAACAGCTTAGATATAACTTTAATAAATGCGAGACAAAATACGGTTCATATAAATACAGTAATTATCAATGCCATTTTAAGAAATGTGAAAAGATTTAGGTTAAATATGAATAATTACCAATGCCATTTTAAGAAATGTGATTTAATTTTTGATGACCTATAGAACTTCAATTCAATTGTACATGTACATTTTCATCTTATAAACCCTGCAATATGATGCTGCAATTACATAACTTACATAGCATATTTTATAATCCCGTACGACAGAATTTTGTTATAAAAACAACATTGTTTTTATCAAAGAGTTTTTAAAAAACTTAAGTTTATCAAAGTTTATACATGTAACTTGAGTTCTCACCTCTTCTACATTTTTATTTTCTTTGGCACTAGTTTCAAAGAGCTGTATGCCCATTTGTTCAGCAAATTTCTGGGCATCTTGTGTCAGTACAACCTTCCTGTCCGGATCATCGTCTTTGTTCCCAACTATAAGATAAAACAGATAAACATTTAACCCCTAAGCCGTCAGGTTAGCTCAATAGGTAGATCGTTGGACTGTGATTCGGTCGACCCAGGTAAGACTCCCAAACGGCCAAGGTCACTTTGGTGTGATTGATCATGAAATACTTTCTATGGTCATTCGCACTGTACCTCTGCTCTAGCATGTACAGAAGTAATCAGTTCCTTACGAAAGTGGAGGCAACTAGTAAACTGCTTGACACCCTACCCAGGAACGATGCGGTGGCTGAACAGTGCTCTGGTAAATTCAATGTGGCTTACTGCCGTGATCCGGATGTTTAAACTACCAACAACACTACAATTAAACCCCTAATCCTCTAAATTAACATAATGGATGTGTCTTGCTTTGAATTTGAAACAGTTCATTTGTAGCAAAAATGAGTTTTTACAAAAAAAAAACTATAACAGGATTCAAGGAACTGAAAAAGTTCAACCTTAACTTGTTTTGGCAGGATTTGAATGGGATGTGACTAAGGAGCATAAAAAGTAGACAAATATCAACATACTATTCATTTCATTGAACATTTTTAATTTTCTTATTATTATTATTATTATCATCATCATTATCAAGCCTTCTCAATGGCACATGTCCAATAATGTAGTAATTTAACGAAGTGGTAATTCATCTGTCTCTCAACCAAGATTTTAACCTGGTCTGGAATACTCAAATTGTTTTGAAAATGATACATATCAGTGTTGTTGTTTTTTCACTGTGAGGGGAAAAGCGGCAGGGCCCTTGGAGATGGAAAATTGTAATGCAGAGGGTAGAAAGAGGAAAATTCAAAACGGACAAAACATTCCTTCTTTTTTGTCAAATTATGATATTATATATAATGGTATTAAAACCGTATTATATTATAATACCATTATATACATGACCTACTCTGACTCACTTTAGGAGGGGAGATTTTTGTAAGAAAAAGGGGAAAATAATATACTTCCTAAGGAGGGGAATGGGGACAAATTTCGGATCACTGCAAATATACATTATTTCCGATTCAAACACCCACATTTTTCCCTTTTGTACATTGAAGGACCGAAAGTGTGTGTTCTTATGCAATAAAATCACTGTTGACATTCTATATTTAAACATGTGACATAACCATTAGATATGTGACGTAACCTTTAACAAGAGGGCCATGATGGCCCTGAAGTCGCTCACCTGTATATAGGCCCCCGGAGCGGGGCCAGTTTAAATCCCAGGGCTTTTATTTGAACAAACTTGGTAGACACCCATTAGAAGATGTTTCATGCTAAACATCTAAGGTCTAGCTGGTCAAGTTTTTTCTTTACACATATAGTTAAAAACAATGACACACCTGGGGCAGGGCCAGTTTTGACCCAAGGGCTTTTATTTGAACAATCTTTGTAGACACTTACTAGAAAATGTTTCATGCTAAATATCTAAACTCTAGCTATTCAGGTTTTTTCAAAGAAGATTTTTAAGTTTTTGCTATACACATATAAGGAAAATCAATGACCCCCTGGGGCGGGCCAATTTTGACCCAAGGGCTCTTACTTGAACAAACTTGGTAGACATCCATTATGATTAGAGGATGTTTCATGCTAAATATCTTAGCTCTAGCTCTTAGGGTTCTTTAAAAGAAGATTTTTTTAAGTTTTTACTATATGCATATAGGGAATTCAATGACCCCCTTGGGCGGGGCCAATTTTGACCCCAGGGCTTTTATTTGAACAAACTTGGTAGACACCCATTAGAGGATGTTTCATGCTAAATATCTTAGCTCTAGCTCTTTGGGTTCTTTAAAAGAAGATTTTTTAAGTTTTTACTATATGCATATAGGGAAAATCAATGACCCCCTGGGGCGGGGCCAATTTTGACCCCAGGGCTTTTATTTGAACAAACTTGGTAGACAGCCATTAGAGGATGTTTCATGCTAAATATCTTAGCTCTAGCTCTTTGGGTTCTTTAAAAGAAGATTTTTTAAGTTTTTACTACATGTATATGCATATAGGGAAAATCAATGACCCCCTGGGGCGGGGCCAATTTTGACCCCAGGGCTTTTATTTGAACAAACTTGGTAGACACTCACTAGAAGATGTTTCATGCCAAATATCTAAGCTCTAGCTCTTTGGGTTTTTTAGAAGAAGATATTTTAAGTTTTTTCTTTTGGTTGCCATGGCAACCAGAGTTCTGCATGGAATTAAATTCTTTGAACAATTTTCAAAGGTGACCACCAAAGGAACATTCCTGTGAAGTTTGGATGAAATTGGCTTGGTGGTTTATGAGAAGATGTCATTTAAAGTAAAAGTTTACTTTGTGACAGGTGAGCTAACAAGAGCTGTCGGTAGGACAGCACGCTCGACTATTCTAAGTGCTTGATAGTAAAAGAGCCTTGATAATGTTAAATTTTTTAAGTTCACAAAAAGCCTAATTTTTTTTTGATAAATTCATGTTATAGGCATTACAGAGAGTCTAATTATACAGTATTGGCTTGACTATTTGGAAGGTAATGTCACAAGGGTGTTTTATTGAGTATAATAATACTGATTACCTATGAATACATAAATTTGACAGAAAATGTACAAGATGTTTTTTCAAATAAATCACTGCTTTATTATTATGAATGCATAAAATTGTCCCAAAAAAGGCACAAACCCTTCAGTAGTTATTGAGATAACAGCTTACAAGCAAAACTGTACTATGAATTTCTAAGTTGAAAAAGGGGAGAAAAATCAGCCAAAATGCAAGATAGAATTATGGATCTTTGTCAGTGACCTACAATTATGACCCTAAATGCATATGTGAAGTTTTAAATAAATATCTTTAATAGTTATTGAGATATGTAAAACTTGCATGTAAACATTAACCAAGAGACTAATAGAAAAGAGGATATGAATCAGCCTTAATGCAAGATAGAGTTATGGAACTTGGTCAGTGACATACAATTATGACCCTCCAATTATGACCCTAAGTGCATGTGTAAAGTTTCAAGTAAATATCTTTGAAGACCTTTAACCTTTAACCAAAATTTCTAAGTTTCAAAGGGGCAAATAATTCTGCAAATATTGCAGGCAGAGTTATGCAATCTTGCAAACTGATGTACCTTGTTACTATAAATAAGTATTGTAAGTTTAAATTGAATATCTCAAGCAATAATTGAGATATTTGACTTTACAAAAAACTTTACCAAAATTTCTTAGTTAAAAAGGGGCATAATTCTGTCAATATTATAGGCAGAGTTATCCAACTTGTCAAACTGATGTACCTTGTTACTATAAATAAGTATTGTAAGTTTCAATTGAATATCTCGAGCAATAATTGAGATATTTGACTTTACAAAAAACTTTAACCAAAATTTCTAAGTAAAAAAGGGGCATAATTCTGTCAATATTGTAGGCAGAGTTATCCAACTTGTCAATCTGATGTACCTTGTTACTATAAATAAGTATTGTAATTTTCAATTGAATATCTCAAGCAATAATTGAGATATTTGACTTTACAAAAAACTTTAACCAAAATTTCTAAGTAAAAAAGGGGCATAATTCTGTCAATATTGTAGGCAGAGTTATCCAACTTGTCAATCTGATGTACCTTGTTACTATAAATAAGTATTGTAAGTTTCAATTGAATATCTCAAGTAATAATTGAGATATTCGACTTTACAAAAAACTTTAACCAACGCAGACGCCGACGCGGACGCGGACGCCGGGGCGACTACAATAGCTCTCATATTCTTCGAATAGTCGAGCTAAAAATGGGACGCGCTGAAAATTTGTACGGAAACAAATTGGTTGCAATTTAGCTTGTATCAGGTACGGCAGCATTTATTTGTCAGATGTCCTTTTAGAATTGAAATAATATCCAAATCAGTGATTTTATAGCTTGATAAAACCACTTTTGTCGTTCAGATGCACATCATTATATCATATAATTCCTCGCATCCGCAATCCAAACAGTGATTTTATTTAGCGATAAAATCACTGTTTGGGATCTATTATTTCTTAAATATGAACCACCCACATAACAGTTATAATCACACATTCAAGTTTAAACTGATATCAGAATGGGGAAAGCACCACTAACTATATTGTATTTGATAAAGTCGCAAAAGCTAACCACACTACTTATAGAAGTGAAACTAATTTAACATTTAATTGAAAAACCAGGAAGTTATAACAACAGAATGAAGTGGGTATGACATTTATCAGGACATCAGTTACTCTGACTTAACATAATATTATAGTCTATTCCTTTAAAGAACACTACAAACACAATGGTATATATAATGACCTTTTTTCACTCGGTTTGAACAACTTTCAAAATGTATGACATAGATTAACAAGGAAACCATTAATTGACACACTATAGGCTCCTCAGAAAAGTAACAGGATCTTGCTGAATCTCTTAAGTGTCTATTTCTAGAACTGTCCATTATCAACTTTTGTAAAAACTGTACCAAGATGAAAATTTAAAGCTAGTCAGCACAAAAGTATAGAGCCTGCTAAGGCTGCACTGAACTGAAAGACTGGCCCTGCTTTAGGCTAATCTTGTTAAGTTCCAAGTTAGAGATTAATATTACTTTGGGTTATTATAAAACAGGGATTTTGGGAACATGACCCATACCCATGGAATTGGTAATTTCAGCGTGTTTTGTTAAAAATTGCGGAAAAAATGCATGACTGAAATTTTGCAGTGATTAAATGAATGCAAACAATTACTGTCTATTATGGCATCTTCAAACATTTAAGCACTATTACAGTGAAGAAGCCCTTATTTGCAAAGATTTTAGAATTTTTATTTAATATTTTATTTTGTAATTTTCAATTGGGAATTTTTTCAGGTGGATTGGGAAAATAATAGTATAATACTATTTTTAATTGGGAATATGACCCAATAACGGCTATAAAATAAGCCAAAAAAAATCCCTGTAAAGTTTTTAGTACCATACTAAATTCTATTAGATAAGTACACAACTGTCAAACATATATTGTATGAGGAGCTATCTGAGTACGATATAGGTTCTGCAGCTGTGTAAGAGTCCAATAGAATCAGTATTGTTCACAACAATGTATAATGACCTCCTTATTTTCACACCAACATCTTTGTAACATGTTGACAGTACTTTGTTACTTTAAGTAATAAGTACTTTAATTAAGTACAATAAGAAATTGATATAAATTTTTGAACTCTGAAAATGAAAACAAGACTAGATGGAGTACAATATGCACAATTGACATAGATATTTCCGATAAATATCCATGCCAATGGACGCTTTCAAGGCTTCACACAGACATTTTAACAAAACCAGCTGACACTTACTGTATACTTTTACAAGATATTTTCAAAATATGCTTTGAATAAATGTAATCTTTTCGTAAATAAACTCACTATCTCTCTCCTTTAACACTTACCTAATATTCTGTTCACCACATCACAATTTGTGTCAATTTCATGTAACCATCTTTTCACATTAGCGAATGACTCTCCACTGGAAACATCATACACTACCACTACACCATGCGTTCCTCTATAATATCTAAAGACAGAAAAATAATAAACTACATACAATGTCTTTCCTATAGTTGAATGAGTATGGCTGAATACCAAAAGCCCCGCGATGAATATTACAAGATAACCTCAATTAAATTTTCTTTATTTCATTTTTTCTCTCTTCAATACTAATAAACAGCACTGAGGCCCTTATAAGATGTTGAATAAGCCCCATATCTAGGTAATTATTTGTTTTTTTATCTATTTACATCAATAGTTACGTTATAAAGCAAGTCAGTGGTTTGGTAAGGCTTTTACCAGTATAGTAACACTTTTACTAGTATGGTAACACTTTTACTAGTATGGTTACACTTTTACTAGTATGGTAACACTTACAGTTACTGGTATGGTAACACTAGTATGGTAACACTTTCACTAGTATGGTAACACTTTAACTAGTATGGTAACACTTAAAGTTACTGGTATGGTAACACTTTAACTAGTATGGTAACACTTATAGTTACTGGTATGGTAACACTTTTACTAGTATGGTAACACTTACAGTTACTGGTATGGTAACACTTTTACTAGTATGGTAACACTTTCACTAGTATGGAAACAATTAGTTACTGGTATGGTAACACTTTTACTAGTATGCAGGGCCAAAACACCATTTTTGGGAAAGGGGCCTCAGCCTTTTTCTTGGGGAAAATATGCATGATTTTTGCATACTTTGGGAAAAGGGGTCTCAAATTTAACACAAAATTTTAACATGTTATTCAAAATAGGAAAGCAAGAAAGCACTGGGAAATACTATAAGGCAGTATATTCAACAACGCATCATTAATTTTGTCGCAAATTCTATGGAAATTTTCAAAAGACTGGGGAATTTTAAGGACCAAAGTGGGGAAAAAAGAGGCTATTTTGGTTGGGGAAGCAGCCTATATTCGGCCTCTACAAAGAAGGGTTTTTTGGCCCTGGTATGGTAACACTTACAGTTACTGGTATGATAACACTTTTACTAGTATGGTAGCACTAAGCCAGTGGAATGGAATGGTAACACTTTAAGTTGGTGATATGGTAACACTTTTACTAGTATGGTAACACTTTAACTACAAGATAACTTACGTTGATGTGATTGTTCGGAATCTCTCTTGACCAGCAGTGTCCCAAATTTGTAATTTTACTTTCTCCCCATTTACGTCTATTGTTCGGATCTTAAAATCTACTCCTATAGTTGTTATATATGTCCCTGGAAAAATTTAAAGATGGGTATCATTATAACAATGTAAGTTTGAAGATTTATACCAGTAACAGAACTTATTATACACACATCTTGTTTAACTATATCAAACACTCATTTAAAGACATTTTCATATTCATTATTTCACTATTGACTTTTACATATGAAGTATTTCTTTAAAGACGTTACATATTTAACATTTCTCAACCAAAAATTACACATTTAACATTCATTATACATGATAAACATTTCTATACATACATTTATATAATCAACATTTCTCTAGCAAAGTTAAACCAACTACAATTTAGTCAATTACAAATATTTTTAATAGCTTAAAAACATTGATAAGTGCATGCGGCCGTGCCTATTCAATACAATGAGATATGCATAAAGAAAATTAAAATATGCAGCATACTTTAATTTTCTTTTCTAAAGAATACATTATTTTTTGTTTTATAATTTACATTATTAGTCCATGAACTAGAATAACTGTCATAATAATATTTACCTGAAAATGTATTGTCAGAAAATCTCAACAGCAAACTGCTTTTCCCAACACCTGGAAAATACATAGGAAACACTGACAGAAATATGATATGTGTACATAAGTACATGTAAATAGTAACATTGACCTCAATGTGACCTTTGACCTCAAAATATTAATAGGGGTGATCTACAGGCTTGGTCAATGGCTCTACCGATTCATGATAGTAGTTTCATTTCCATTTATAATTTCTATTATTTAATATTATGTTCAGCATCACTTGTGAATCAGTATTAACTATTTATTTATTGATAAGACAATTTTAAACCTCTGAAAGTTCAGACATTCATTTTATATCGCAATTTTTCAATGAAAGTGAAAATATGGTAAGCTTATCAGAATATGACACTTCAAACAAAACAATGGCATATATTACACTCTAGATTTTAGGGTAATTTTATTTACCGTTACAACTAGTGTAATATCTATATATTTTATTTTGGTAATTTGAATATTACTATTTTTCTTAAATTCTTTTGCTTTAAATATTTTTACAATTAATGAAATGGAAATTATAAAACTGAAAAATATTTAAAGCAAAAGAATTTAAGAAAAATAGTAATATTCAAATTACCAAAATAAAATATATAGATATTACACTAGTTGTAACGGTAAATAAAATTACCCTAAAATCTAGAGTGTAACTCTAGATTTTAGGGTAATTTTATTTACCGTTACAACTAGTGTAATATCTATATATTTTATTTTGGTAATTTGAATATTACTATTTTTCTTAAATTCTTTTGCTTTAAATATTTTTCAGTTTTATAATTTCCATTTCATTAATTGTAAAAATATTTGGTACTTAATTTTTCAAACTTGCCAAATTTACTTTACTATAAAAACTTAGTAAAAGAAGCCATCAAGTCAGCTTGGGTTATTATTGTCTGCAATGTATGTGCTGGCTTAAATTCTATAAGTGTTAAAACAGCCAAATCTTTAACAATGTAGTTTTATCAACTCTTACCAGAATGGCATATCTTAGTAAGCAGTGTCAATCCCTTAAGCAAAATACCAGACCCTTAATTGATTATAACACAAAGATAGGTATGAAACCCTAGTTCCTGTGTTTGCACTGCAATAATCCTTCCTGGGAAAAGAAAGCTGATTTTTATACCAAAAGACAGATCTGAAGTCATTCTTACTTTGGACTTCAGACATTAAACGTGAACAACTGTTTAAAACTGTCTTTTTCATCTTTTCCAGGTATGTGATATTTTTGTATTTTCTAATGTACAATTTAGAATAATTAAACTGAATATGATACTTTATTTTCTAAATATTTGTACTTTGTTTATAAAATCATTATGAAATTTTTATCATCTGAATTTTTGCAACTGTGTTATATTTTGATTTCTACTTTTGAAATTATTATATTGTATTTTTCATTAGTATGCATTCTCTAATGTTTTCATATTTAATGAGATTGGCAAAGGATCATAAGTGAAACCATTGCTTACCATAATTTTAAACTATCTAATAATTACATGAATTTCTGGCAGTTTGTAAATTCTGTCTTTATTACCTTTTATCTATGAAAAGAGACTTAGTAACAAAAGTTGAAAAACTTTGTGTAAATATGTTTTCTTGTTAAATATGTTAAGTTGATTTTTCTATAATTGAAGATTTTAATATTAAGTGAATAATTACAACAATATTGTAAAGATCACTGTTTCATTTTTTTACAATATAACAAAGGACAATAACATTATTAAACACTTGTATATAAGTTTGCAATTTGCAATTTATACTAGTATATAAAGTTGTTTAGTTTAAGTAATGACATTGTACCTTTCACTAGCTAATGCGAGTTATTATAATTTATTAAATGAAAACTTATTATTTTCCCCATTATAATTAAATATACAATTATTGCAGTCTGCAAATATAAGTACATATGTTGTGATATGTTTTTATTATGTTAAAAACTATTATGTATTTCAAATTGTATTTTATATTTGTAACTGTATATACCAATTCTTACTTTGGACTTCAGACATTAAACGTGAACAACTGTTTAAAACTGTCTTTTTCATCTTTTCCAGAACGCTAGCCTAAAGGCCTCGCACCTTAAACCCTAAATTAAACCTATTGTCAAACCCGTCTCTGGAGCTAAGTCACCCCGTAAAACCCGAGCGTAAAACATATCAAGGGAAATGAACTCAAAAGTAAAACTGAACATCAAGTTAACATCATTGAGACAGTTCAATAGGTTGTCTGGGTTATCCCAAAGCCTGTATTGAAAAATGAAATTTTCCAAAATTTTACTTTATAAATACCATATGGACAAGAGATAAAAACAGACAAGATGAGGAAAGTTGAAATAAGATTTTGCCAGCCCTGTTCTCATGGTATAAAATTATTATGTCAGTTTTTAACTGTGAAAGTATTTCTAGTTCTTTTTATTGATGTTAATGAATGATGCAGCGAAATCCCGCCGGAATGCGCCTCAGTCGCCGAAACGACGATTTCCCCTGTTCAACATTGTTTGGCAAATGAACATATAGTAGGCTTTTCACCTTTCTATAACTATAATTTTGATAGTCGAAAAGAAATTTTTTTAATATAATTTCATCGGTGGTTTTGTATTTGGTACCTTATAGTTAGCATTAGAGTTGAATTATTATTTTTCAGGGTTGTAGTAGGGGTCCAGGGGCAGATAGGGGTGGGGTGTCCAAACACTGATACTGCCACTTGTGCCAAAAATGGCCAAACGAGTGCCCTGCAATGGCACAGACTCATCACTTGAGACTGCAATCTAGCAATATGGTACACATAACAATCACCGACCTACTGTTCAGTTCTTATGCTTAAGTTATTACCCATAACTTAAATTTTGTACATGTGCAGGGCTCTCAGTAGGGTCAGAATTTCACGAGTCACAGACTCTTTGGCCAAAATTTTCATGAGTCAAATCATTTTTTTCTACTGTCATTTGGCTACATGAATCATTCTTATGTTACAAAATTACTGTATTTGAGGTCATTTTGTGTACATTCTCAAGTCTAAATTGATTATATTTAACATGGAAAAAATGCCTAGTTATCATGTATGTAACCCCCCCCCCCCCAAACAAAAACAGAAACAAACCAAACAAATAAAAAAAAATGAATTGCATCTTTTATACTGTGAAAGAATAGAATAAGCAGCAGCTTTTCTGATTGGAATATTTTAATGGAAAAAGAAATAACAACTGTACAGGTACTCCAAGTAAATCAAAGACATATTACAGGCTGTCCAGCACCTTCTGAAATAAGAAAGCCTTTTTGATAAATAGCTTTTAAGATAATCAGCACAAACAATGTGGTCTAACGACGGATAAACAAACATACTTAAGGTCCCTGTGACCTTGACCATTGACCTAAAGACCCAAAAATCGATAGGGTCATCTACTACTTACGACCAATCAATATGTGAAATATAATGACTTAGTGATAGATAGTTTTAAAGATAATGAGCTTAAACCATTCAGACATTTAAGGCCCCCCTGTGACCTTGACCTTTGAACTAGTGACCACAAAATCATAGGTGTCATCTACTACATATGACTAATTAATTTGGAAATATAAAGACTTTGTGAGAAAAAGTTATCAAGATAATGAGCGGAAACCATTCTGACATTTAGGGTCCCTGTGACCTTGACCTTTGACAAAGTGACCATGGAATCAATAGGTTTCATCTACTATAGTTATGACCAATTAGTATGTAGAAAATATGAAGACTCTGTGATAATAGTTTTTAAGATAATAAGTGAGGTCTACCGATGGACTGACCGACCAACATTAACATAACATAACATTTTTTTTTTCAACATAAAATTGTATACATACAATTTATAGTCATACAGATATTGTGTGGACATTAGCAAATCAATATACCCGCTCTTCTTCAAAGTGGGACATAATAAAAATAACTAGGGTCGGGAACGAATAAGAACTTACATTGATGTTCGAATATTCGTTTTCCATATTTGAATATATTCAAATATTCATTTTTACAAAATTTGAGAAGACACCACCTATGATGCTATCATTTGTATCTGAACTGCTAGACACTCCAGACTTCAAAACATTCACACCATGACTCACATGTTGATTTGTTGCACAGATAACTTTATTTGTTGGTGTTGTCCCAAGCAATAATTCCAGAATAGAACGCGCTAACATAAAGAAGAAAACTTTCCAAACAGGAAACATTTAATGTGAATATTATGCTAGATACCTGATCAGGAAACAGTGTTTCCAAAACGGGAAGCCGCTACTTCTTAGTAAAATCGTAAAATTTCACTCAAATTCACTTTCAGATAATTTTAGTTTTAGGCATTTAAAAAGAAAATGACTCGGTAGGATTTTAGATGTATCTTTTCTGCACTTAAATGTGATGTTCATATTGAAGTGGGTTGCAAACTATTATGCACCGGCCATTTTTCCTGAACAACGTAAAAATAGGCCAAAAAACTTCCCGATCGGGAAGGATTTTGACGTTTACTGCCTGATCGGGAAGCCTTGAAGGGGAATCCCCTTGTTTCCCGATCAGGAAGTATGCCCGACTGATGTAGGCTTAGACCACTAATCTTTGTGCAAAATTTCAGTTCAGTCGCGCACTTCGTTGTTCCAGAATAATTATTCAAATTGTAAATAAATGACTCAAAAAGTAAATCGTTTAAACGCTTTTCACTCAAATTGGGTTTAGAAAAGCATAAAAATATGATTTTCAATTTATTTCAAAGTATATTTCTTAACTGTTTTTGCATATATTTCTGTTTTAAGTGCCCCAGCTCATTAATGTAAGAAATTCAAATGTTATGTTTTTAGGCTTTTAAACCTCAGGGGAGTCCCTTTAAAAATCTTACACTATATATTATAACATATGTTAAGTACATATTAATGTGTAAAAAAAGGGCACCTGAGGGTGTCACATCTTAGTACGCTAATTGGGTAGCAAAATGGCAAAAATATCCAATCATTTAAAAAATAATAAAATTAAAGGAACAATTCATTTGCATGTTTGGCTTGGAAACCGAGAATTTTTGCGAAATTTTAGGGTTTCTGGCGAACGTGAAATCGCCGATGTTCGGGATCAATTTTCGGACACAGTAGAATCTAAATATCAAAGAGAAGCGTATGTGTATTTTGGTTTGTTGTCCTGGCATTTCGGCACAATATCTTAAATTCTTAATAGTCTTATCGAAAGTTTTTGCAAGAATGAAACTAAAGCAAAATTGTGCCTAGAAAATGCCGAAATTAAATATTCGACAATCATTCAAAATTACACTCATTAGTAATTTGAGAAAACAGTCTTTAAACTTGCGGCGTAAATAGTCGATAATTTTATTCTTTTGTCGGTAAAATTTGCTATTTTCCAATCAACTGTTGATCAAAGATATAAAATTATCACCTCGTGTTTTATCTGGTACATGTACTGTACAGCGCGTGTATACATTAGTCTGATCACTATTGCGTGATAATGATCCAAAGTGTTATCGCTGATTGGCTAATCGCTTCACGGATCGATGTGCATAGGACCGCCTACCTATAGACTGACACGCGCTGACGCATTTGTGTATTTGTTGTTGTAAACAATCAGTAATGTTTATGCGTCCCCAGGCAAAGTTAAGCGTACGTGGAATCCTTGCTCTGAAATATTTGCGTCCAGCTGTAATAGACATGCGTACCAGGACGCCGAAATAAGCGTCCCCAAGAACCCTGATTATCTGAACAATTCTTTTCACAACGTCCCATGAAATGAATCCCTTGCTCGTAGTCGTAGACTCGAATCTGGAGTTTCCAGCCTTCTCTTAACTTATAGTATATTTTTAAGGGGGCTTATATTTCACCTTTTTATTGGGGGGGGGGGGGGGGGGGAGGGAGGTTGACACATTTAAGATGAACACAGACGTTTTTTATCAATCATTTTTAATGTGCCATTGTGGTCATATTTTCTTCCAAGCCAGACAAAGGTCCGATGCTTGTGCCTGTGAGATCGAGGTGGGTAAAAATATACAGTGGACTACTGATGAAAGAATTAATCGGGATATACCACGACACTTTTAGTCCAGCTCAATTTCTAAATTGCGACTAACATAATCTGATGATGAATCAGTGGGGACTGTGAGTGCAAGTGACAAAAATGTAAACAGCCGAATATAGGTTGACATATGAATATACGCTGACAATGGAAGATTACCCAATGAAACTTACCACTGTCACCGATTATCAAAAGTTTAAATAAATGATCATATTCTCTCGCCATTATCCCTATATCATGTAAAAGTACAATAGATTATTCTCAGGAAGTCTTTCAGCGAAATTTACCGGAAATGGAGGCGGACGAGCAACTGCACATGCGCATCCTGTAAATCGGATATCGATTCGTCCCATTGATGACTCGCAACAATAGATCTGCGAAAGCCTTGTTGGAATAAAGACATTTTGAATAATAAATTACGAACAAAAGGTCGCGGCAAAAAATCAACATATTTATATTACACGTGCATGTTTCTAAATTCAAAATGTTATCATTTCATGTTTAAATGTTGAATTCTGCTTAAGCCGGTGCTAGGGGGCGTACGTGAAACCAAGCCTGCAACATTTTCAATTGTGTTGTATTGGACTTAGGGGTTCTTATTTTCTCTATTTTAATTCTGTCAAATTGTTTGACAAACACATACTCGTCAAAAACTATCTCGATGTCTCTTTGACAAGTCTATAATTACCTGGACTACAGTAACGTTACTCCAGTAGTCAGGAGTAATATCCTACCTAACGAATACATTTTATACACCTGTTCCTGTTATCATTAAACTATAATAGAGAATTTTTATATTCTTATGTCTATACCTTAAATACATATCTTATGAAAACGAATGGCAATGTTATCAAGGAAAGATAACTCTTATTATCATTAAATATTGAAATTAATTCCCCTTATTTGTTTCATTGCATCGGATTCTATGTAATTTTAGTCATAACATATGTAACTGTTAAAATGTACACATTGAAATAATAGATTTGACAGAATCTTGTTATCACACATACAACGTATATAGCCTAACATTTTATAAATAAGCACTATGCCTTCCTTATATGTTTTATTCTTAACAAGTCTTCTTAAGTTCACACACACACAAAAACTTGTAGGCCCTATTTACGACTACATAAGGCTAATAGAGGCCGCCCTAGAAATAAGACCACCAGATGCCCGCATATCATTGGCCTTTAAGACTTACAAGGCGATTAGTTTTTTTATAGGAAATTTGAAATCTAGTCAATGCAAAAGCTTACAGGGTTACCTGAAATGCAATGTTGTTGAAACGAACGATGTCTCAGCAATGCGTTTTTGACATCCATTGTCCGTTTTGGCTATACACTTGGATGTAAGGAACTTTGAACTTGCTTTTAAAAAGTTATCTGTGTTTATTAGGTCTTTAAGCCTTAATTATCTTTTCCACAGATATGCATACATGTATATTTAGCTCCGGGGCTTTGTCTTATAGCTTTCATGATTCAGTATAAGGCAATATAAGACATGTTGCTCTCCAGATACCCGCGTCATGAACATGTTCTATCAAATCGCGGCTTGTTACATTTTAAATTTGGCCGTATACGTGTTTCGTATTTCTGTGTGAATGTAAAATAAAATATTGATACATTTTGACCGTCGAATCAAATGTGAAGCATACTTGTGTGTGAATATATATGCAGCAGTAAATGAGAATAAATTTCTGTGTTTTTAATAAACAATTTCCCCTTTAGGATTTAAATCTCACGTTGTTTTTGCAATGCATTTAATGATTGCCGTTGTAAGTTTTTTCTATTTATTTATTTATTTCATTCCCGAGTTAGTGCATGTAATAGCATTTAAAACAAAATAACAAGGTATTTTTGTCATAATTTAAAATTTATTATTGGAAATGCACAGAAATTTACAGATAAAAAACAATTTATCTACTTACATCGTGGCAGAAATTGTACAGTAAATTATTGTTAGAAACAGAGCTAAAATCGATGCGAATTTATATATTAAACTGTGATAAATAATACAATTAAAAACACAAGTTTGGCTCCCGCGAAATTTTGAATAAACATTTCTGATTGGTCGATGGTATACCCGGCACTGATTGGTCGGCCTACCCCCTGGATACCATATATAAAGAGCCTTGTTGTTAGGCTGGCACGTTCAGATTCATACATCTATAGTTAAAGAGAACATTGAAAATATGCGCTCTGACAGAGAAAGAAAATCTTCATATTATTCGTAAGTGTTTCAGTATTTTAAACAATTGAATAAAAGTATGAATATCATATTTTCAACACAGGCTATCCAGTTACTGTTATTTCAATTTCATTTAAATGATTTTTTTACAATTTTAATCGCGATTTCAGACTGCTGTTAAATCGCTGTGGGCGGGGTAAGGTTTGATTGATGAACCAGGATGTCGATGTTATTTTTGAACTGTTAATTTAACAAAAATAAAGAAAAAGTCTTATCACTCTTCCATGAATGTTTATTTTATTTATCGATACCATAAATTCAATGTATTTTTTAAAAAATGCCGCCGAAAAAACTTTGTTCCGCTTCCAGCCTCCAGATCTGATCTGATAACTGTTGATCTAAATATTCTAATCAAAACCTCTGTCGTACTACAGTGTCCATATTTACTTTAAACAGGATACGCGTGTGTAAAAAGAACGAAAGATACATAGGTGTAAGACTAAACTGCATTGTAATTTGTAGAGTGATTCTAACTCGATCATAGCAACCATTTGTTCTATTTTTAGATTGCGGGTTTTCCGTTGACGCATATATAGCACATAAATCATGATCAAATTAAAAAAATATATATCTATTAGATCATTTTTAATGATGAAAGTATAGGAATTGACAATTTGGCGTGCATGTTAACCGTCATATTGATATAAATGATTTATTTGCGAGGGACTATTTGCTTCGAGTCCGCCACTGTATTGAAAAGGATAGTTCTGATTGGTCAGACAAGAAAAGACTTTATGCGCAAACTCCGCTCCTTAGTTACCAGTAATGGCCGCGCAAATATTTGATTTTCGACAGATTTTACCTTGAATCTTGCAGCATTCTACTTTCAAGATTTATTTGTTAATACTAGGCAGTAATTTTTTCCCAGTTGTTTTGTAGTGTTGGAGAAGTGAGAAGTGAGGAGTTTACAATTATGAATTGTTGCTATTGTTGGCCCAGGACTGTTAGTGTTAGGGTCTGCTTTTTTTGCTCTGTTGTCGTTGATTTGAATTTGCCATATCAAATATAGTATTTTTACGCCGAGCGTTGGTCCACCCACTCTACCAACGCTCGGCGTAAAAATACATTATTCGATATTACTCGATACGTTATTTGATATGGCAAATTCAAATCAACGACAAAAAACCTCAATGTTATAGATCTATCCTCGAGTGACCAGTTTCGACGCCCATAAGGATTGTTTTGTATGCGTCTATAAAAACCATGTGATTGTATTGTATAAAATGTTTTAACTTTTTAAAAAATCTCTAACCTTTATGAAATGGGTAAATTTAAGCTGTTTTCAAGCTATTCCTTTTCATGAACAATCCTACTTTCACTTCATCCGGGAGCGGCCATTTTGATTGAGAGTGCCCTAAAACGACGCTATTGATTGGCTAATTTAATTACACACTACAGGAGACTGTACACCATAATACTTTTATTTACGTTGTTCACCAATATCAAGAGCAAAGACCTGCAAAGTATCAACAAGTGAAAAATAGTTTGTCTATTCTTTATTTCTTTCATAAATAAAGCATAATTATATATGGTAAATGCTATTGTTGTATTTTTACAGTGGTTTGAACGGTTGCCCTAGTCTGTTTGACCTCCTCTGCTCAATAATATAGGTCGGAAAATTACACCTTTACTTCCTTTGTTGAACCTGCAGAAACAAAATAATACATTTTGTAGAGCAACTAATTAAAATATGGCAATTAATTCCATCCAAATAAGATAAACATATCCAATTAATTTTCAATTAACATTCATTAATCGATTAATAACCGTAAAAAAATATACAACACGTACAGGTTGCTTTGGGGTGAAAAAAATGTGCCCAAAACAACACTATTGGGTAATTTATCTGCCACGTGACCTGAGAATAAGGAAATGAGGTCAGCAGACAGGGAGATATTTTCCAGCCGATTTTTTCAAGGAAAACATGACATAGTAAAGTGAGGGTCAAAATTGCATTAGTGAAATCATACAAAAATCTCTTAAATAAGGTATAACATGCTAAATCTTACCTTTGGGTGTCTTACTTACTACATATTGTTACCCGACAAACTAGAGGAATCCCCTTTTGCTATAGCGTAGTACAGTTATGACGTAAGCGGCCGCTTATATCAATGATGAGGCAAAATATAAATGGCGTCGAAATAGGGCAGCGTAAAAACGGGTCACTCGACGATATGTCCATTTTCAAGGCCGATTATATTGTTTTAAATAGCCATTGTGTAAAATTCACTAATCACATAATGATGTGCATGGCTGGAGTTATAGATAGTACGGATAAACAAGAGTGGTTTGCGTGAAATTGTACCATAGCTCGGCGTACAATACTACATGATGCAGGATTGTTTTTCGAATAAAATCTCTTTTTAATCTTATGAAGAAAACAAATTGATAAAATTGTAACAACCAAATTAGGTTCATACATTTACAAGTACCCAACTTTAAGTTTAAACTTACAGCCCCAGAACTCTAGTGTTAAAAGATTTTAACAATTTATATGTTGCGGATTACATACGGTTGTTTGTCTGCAATTAGCATTGTCACGTGAATTTACCAGAAGTGAACCACACCAGGATAAAATGGTGAAAGATGTAAATAAAAGCACCAGTGACCTAAATCGGAGATAACTCGAGACATTTTCAGATATTCTAAAAAAATATTTTTTTACGCCGAGCATTGGTATGCGCCGAGCATTGGTCCAACCAATCTACACTTTAGAATTGAATATGCAGTTTCCAAACAGAAGAAACATGTATTCAGAGACTATTGTTTGCTAAGTTGTATTATAGTGAAAAGTCTAAAAGTCTTAAGATTTAGGCTACATTTGTTGATTTGAATGCCCAAGAAATTTCTATATAGTTAAAAAAATTCCTGTAGAGTTGACAACTGACAAGTTAATAATTTTACTATTCTTTATAAATTCTGTAAACCTGATATACAGTACATGTAAACCTGATAGTTTTCAACTAACTTCAAGCATGCGAAAACCATCTCATTTCCAATAACAGGGCAAGCTGTAGGCCTACCTTTAACCTAATTTTATTTAGCAAAACTTTAAAAAGGATTAAATATTTTTTCACTTTTTTTGGGGAATAATATATAGGTACCAATTTAAATGGCAGGTATATGTACCCACACTTTTGTAATTGGGTTTAACTTATCTTTTACATTCATGATTGTAATTACTTTATTATCAACCTGTGTGTCAAAAATCTCGAAAATGTTTTAGTTTGTTACATTGTTTTTCATTAAATTTTTTTTTATATTTTCAGACAAAGAAGTCGTTCTAGATCTAGGTCTAGATCGAGACGTCCCAAGTCCAGGGACCAGTGCCACCATCACTATAGGCCTAGGACCCCTAGTCCATATCGGTCAAGGGATAATAGACCTAGTGGTAGTGGTACTAGTTCTCCAGTCATCAAGAAAGACAGGACATCAACACCTGTAAGGGAGGAAGTGCCTCTATTACCAGATGTAGAAATACCTCTTCTTGACCAGCTCAGTGAGCCAGAATTTCCTGAGCTGTTTGGTACACAGTAAGTTCTTTTTACATTGCCTTTAAATGAAAAATACTTAAAACTGGATATTTTTCATTTTTGAACTGTAACCTTGAAAAATAAATTAAAATTGTTATTAAAACTAGATTTTCATAGAATTGTATCATTTAATTTATGTTAATAAATAACAAATAAGCAGTCCCTTTTTGTATAAGTTGATTATAATATTTGCTAATCATATAATGAAATTTATGTATGACAATAGGCCCTTTCCTTCATGTTACATCAACAAATGAAAAGCATAACTGTAAATTATATAAAAATGAAGCTTATCAATTGCAATTTCTTTATTTAGAGTTGACAAAAAACATAAAATGTAGAAAAGTTTAAACTGATTTTATACGAGGTTTAAATATATTTTTAATAGAGTCATCATTTCATAAAAAATTAAAAAAAAAAAAAAACAACAACCTCCCCCCCCCCAAAAAAACAAACAAAAATCAAGAAAAAGGGCCTGTTGTTACACCAATGACTGTTTTACTGTTATTGTGTTATTTCTACAAAACATTTCTATTATTGTTTTACCAGCCTCACAAATGAGATGATCTGGCAGATGGAGGAATGGCGTCTCGAGGCTGAAGAGCATTTTGACTTCAGTCTCCTGCTGTCTAAAAATAGCAAGGACAGCAGTAAGAAAGGTGCTCATCTCAATTATATTATCATGCCTGTTTGTCTTATTTCAGAAATTCAACTGTCAGATGGATAAATTGTCATTACTCATATATTGCATTTTCTGAAAATAAAAATCAGTCATTTTTCTGATTCATATTATTTTCACTTGGAAATTTGCAATCTATATATTTAACTTAATATTTCCATGTTTTTTTTCAGGTATCCCAAATACCACCCCCACCCCCCTCCCCAAACACACAAAATAATAAATGAATAATTCTCATGCTTTATCTAACTTTATATATGCTGACCATATTATTAGTAGTTAAGTCAAATATTGTGCATTAAAATGTCCTTTAAATAAACTAAATGTGAGTTACTATATATTTCAGTGAGCCGCAAGCGTGGTAGGGACGATAATACAGATTGGTACCCTGCTGCAAAACGGCCTGCCATTCATTTCAACCCAAGTCATCCAAACTTCCGAAGGTATTTCTACTAGTTAGTTATTCTAGTGTAGCAATGCTGTAGAAAGTTTAGGGTAGTTAGTTGGTTTTTTATTAAATTAGTTTTTATCCCAGAGGAACATAGTAATTTTACCATTTGTCTGAAATTATATCCATTTATCCAACTAAGTTTTGATTACCTGAGATTGACATTACATTTTATTTTATTTCCTTATAATGAATGTCAGCCAGATTTAGCTTGAAAATAACAATTTCTGTAGCCCTAATGCAAGTTCACACAGATGTCCCTTACAAATTTTTTTTTATCAGTACTTTGAGAGGCATTATAATTTATGTGCAATTAAGTGGTGATTTTTGTTTTAACATGATATGATTGTTTGGTTTTAAGTTGCACTGACATTGTTAACTTTCCAGCTTTACTGGTGGAGGAATTATAGTAATTATTTCTGGATAATCATATACACATTTTTATGATCTTAATTCTTTCTTGATAATCATACACTTTTTTATAATATTTCATAATTCTTTCTTGATAATCATACACCTTTTTATAATATTTCATAATTCTTTCTTGATAATCATATACACATTTTTATAATAATAATACTTTCTGGATAATCATATACACATTTTTATAATAATAATACTTTCTGGATAATCATACACATTTTTATAATAATAATACTTTCTGGATAATACTCATACACATTTTTATAATAATATATATAATTCTTGATAATACATTTTTATGATAAAAATAATACTTTCTGGATAATCATATACACATTTTTATAATCTTAATTCTTTCTGGATAATTATATACACATTTTTATAATAATTCTTTCTGGATAATCATACACATTTTTATAATAATAATTCTTTCTGGATAATCATATACACATTTTTATAATAATAATTCTTTCTGGATAATTATATACACATTTTTATAATAATAATTCTTTCTGGATAATCATACACATTTTTATAATAATAATTCTTTCTGGATAATCATACACATTTTTATAATAATAATTCTTTCTGGATAATCATACACATTTTTATAATCTTAATTCTTTCTGGATAATTATATACTTATTTTTATCTGGATAATCATGCATATACACATTTTTATAATTATAATAATAATAATAGTACTTTCTAGATAATAATATACACATATTTGTAATAATAATTCTTTCTGGATAATCATACACATTTTTAAAATAATAATTTTTTCTGGATAATTATGTACACCTTAAGTTTTTATAATTATTATCATTTCTAAATAAATTATATACACATTTTTATAATAATAATTCTTTCTGGATAATTATTTTTTATAATAGTACTTTCTGGATAATCATACACATTTTTTAAATAATAGTACTTTCTGGATAATAATCATACACATTTTTATAATAATAATTCTTTCTGGATAATCATACACATTTTTATAATAATAATTCTTTCTGGATAATCATATTCACATTTTTATAATAATAATTCTTTCTGGATAATAATCATACACATTTTTATAATAATATATATAATTCTTGATAATACATTTTTATGATAAAAATAATACTTTCTGGATAATCATATACACATTTATTAACTATTTAAGGCATTTTGGTATTTTTTAAGTATGAGTTCCAAGAACAATTACTCTTCTTTCATTTCTCAAAGAGTTAACTCCCTTTCTATACTCAAGCTTTATAAACTCATCACTGCTTAGGGGGGTTTATGATACAATTTTAAATTGTGATTTTTTTCGAGTGTATCAAAACCTTTTTGTTTAGAACATCAATGATGGTGTTTAAATTAATTTTAATTCAAATCTTTGTAAACATTTTGGGTTCATTAAAGTCATTGGTTAATAGTAGATGTTAGCTCTACAGCATTTGGTAGATTTTAGAATTTCAAAAAAGGATGAAAAAATACAAAAAAAGATTTAAAATTTAAAAAAAAACAAAATAAAAAAAGAACAAAACTTTGAAAAAAAATACAAAAAAAATGTAGATGTTTATTAGATTGTATGTATGCATAAAGGAGATTGTATGTTGTCATTAGTTCAAACGGCTGTTATTGAGGTTGTTAGTTATTTATTAGAGGTTGTTGGTTATTTAGACAGTATTGTTACATTAAAATATTCAGTTTAAAGTGCAGGATGGTACAGGCGTATTTTAATATTCAGTTTATTATGTGCAGGGTGTACAGGCAGTTCTTTCTAAGGATAGTAAAAGTTGGTATGGACAGCATTAAGTGGAGGTTTGAGGCTGTTTAGGTAGATGTGCAATTTTAATTTGCATGAGGGTGATAAGGGTGGCTAAGTGCAGTGTCAAGACATTTGAAGAGTGTAATTAAAATATGTAGGTTAGAAAGAGTGGTATGGACGGCTGTAAGGGGAGGTTGGAGGCCATTAAGATGGTGTAAATATGGTCTATCTATAAGATAGGGTGGTATGGACTGCTGTATTAGGGAGGTTGGAGGCCGTTTAGATAGTGTTAATATGGTCTATAGGTAAGATAGGGTGGTACGGACGGCTGTAAGGGGAGGTTGGAGGCCGTTTAGATAGTGTTAATATGGTCTATAGGTAAGATAGGGTGGTATGGACGGCTGTAAGGGGAGGTTGGAGGCTGTTCAGATAGTGTTAATATGGTCTGTAGATAAGGAAGGGTGGTACCAACTGCTGAAAGGGGAGGTTGGAGGTCGTTTAGATAGTGTTAATATGGTCTATAGATAAGAAAGGGTGGTACCAACTGCTGAAAGGGGAGGTTGGAGGCCGTTTAAATAGTGTTAATATGGTCTTGGTAAGAAAGGGTGGTAGGGACGGCTATAAGGGGAGGTTGGAGGCTGTTTATATAGTGTTAATATGGTCTAGGTAAAAAAGGGTGGTACGGACGGCTGTAAGGGGAGGTTGGAGGCCGTTTAGATAGTGTTAATATGGTCTATAGGTAAGATAGGGTGGTACGGACGGCTGTAAGGGCTCAGGTTGGAGGTCGTTTAGATAGTGTTAATATGGTCTATAGGTAAGATAGGGTGGTACGGACGGCTGTAAGGGGAGGTTGGAGGCCGTTTATATAGTCACACTAGTGTAAATATGGTCTGTAGATAAGAAAGGGTGGTACGGACGGCTATAAGGGGAGGTTGGAGGCCGTTGATATAGTTTTAATATGGTCTAGGTAAGAAAGGGTGGTACGGACGGCTATAAAAGGAGGTTTGAGGTCGTTTAAATAGTGTTAATATGGTCTAGGTAAGAAAGGGTGGTAGGGACGGCTGTAAGGGCTCAGGTTGGAGGTCGTTTAGATAGTGTTAATATGGTCTATAGGTAAGATAGGGTGGTACGGACGGCTGTAAGGGCTCAGGTTGGAGGTCGTTTAGATAGTGTTAATATGGTCTATAGGTAAGATAGGGTGGTACGGACGGCTGTAAGGGGAGGTTGGAGGCCGTTTATATAGTCACACTAGTGTAAATATGGTCTGTAGATAAGAAAGGGTGGTACGGACGGCTATAAGGGGAGGTTGGAGGCCGTTGATATAGTTTTAATATGGTCTAGGTAAGAAAGGGTGGTACGGACGGCTATAAAAGGAGGTTTGAGGTCGTTTAAATAGTGTTAATATGGTCTAGGTAAGAAAGGGTGGTAGGGACGGCTATAAGGGGAGGTTGGAGGCCGTTTATATAGTGTTAATATGGTCTAGGTATGAAAGGGTGGTACGGACGGCTGTAAGGGGAGGTTGTTTAGATTGATTTAATGATTATGGTCTATAGGTAAGACAGGGTGGTATGGACGGCTGTATGGGGGAGGTTGGAGGTCGTTTAGATAGTGTTAATGATTATGGTCTATAGGTAAAAAAGGGTGGTATGGACGGCTGTAAGGGGAGGTTGGAGGCCGTTTAAATAGTGTTAATATGGTCTATAGGTAAAAAAGGGTCGTACAGACGGCTGTAAGGGAGGTTGGAGGCTGTTTAGTGTTAGTATGGTCTAAGTAAGAGTGGTACGTATGGCTGTTAGGGGAGGTTGGATGTCTCAATAACTGCTTGGCAGTTTTGATGACTTAAAAGTCTTTTGGTGGTCCTTTATAAAAATCAATAATATTTGATCTGTTGAACAATATTGACGGCCAATATAAAGATGAATGAATCTTCTTTAAGAACATCTCCATGATCCTGGGTGATACTATACGAAAATAGAAAAGTGGATCATCATGTTTTAGGGTAGAAAAATTGGTGATCAGTCTTAAAGGAAATAGAAAAGTGGATCATCATGTTCTGAGGTAGAAAAATCAGTCATCAGCCTTGAAGGAAATAGAAAAGTGGATTTTCATGTTTTGAGGTAAAATAATTGGTCAACATCCTTGAAGGAAATAGAAAAGTGGATCATCATGTTTTGAGGTAGAAAAATCAGTCAACATCCTTGAAGGAAATAGAAAAGTGGATCATCATCATGTTTTGAAGTAGAAAAATCTGTCATCAGCCTCTAAGGAAATAGAAAAGTGGATCATCGTGTTTTGAGGTAGAAAAATTGGTGATTAGCCTTTAAGGAGAAAAAAAAGTGGATCATCATGTTTTGAAGTAGAAAAATTGGTCATCAGCCTTTAAGGAAATAAAAAGTGGATCATCATGTTTTGAGGTAGTAAAATCGGTCAACAGCCTTGAAGGAAATAGAAAAATAGAAAAGTGGATCATCATGTTCTGATGTAGAAAAATTGTTCATCAGCCTTAAAGGAAACAGAAAAGTGGATCGTCATATTTTAGGTAGAAAAATCAGTCAACATCTTTGAAGGAAATAGAAAAGTGAATCATCATGTTCTGAGGAAGGAAAAGTGGTCACTAGCTTTTAAGGAAATAGAAAAGTGGATCATCATGTTTTGAGGTAGAAAAATTGGTCATCAGCCTTTAAGGAAATAAAAAAGTGAATCATCATGTTCTGATGTAGAAAAATTGGTCATCAGGCTTGAAGGAAAAAGAAAAGTGGATCATCATGTTCTGAGGAAGAAAAATTGGTTATTTGCCTTTAAGGAAATAAAAAAGTGGATCATCAAGTTTTGAGGTAGAAAAATTGGTTATTTGCCTTTAAGGAAATAAAAAAGTGGATCATCAAGTTTTGAGGTAGAAAAATTGGTTATTTGCTTTTAATTAAGGAAATAGAAAAGTGGATCATCATGTTTTGAGGTAGAAAAATTGGTTATTTGCCTTTAAGGAAATAAAAAAGTGGATTATCAAGTTTTGAAGTAGAAAAATTGCTAAACAGCCTTTAAGGAAATAGAAGAGTGGATCATCATATTTTTAGGAAGTAAAATCGGTCAACAGCCTTGAAGGAAATAGAGAAGTGGATCATCATGTTCTGAGGTAGAAAATGCGGTCATCGGCTTTTAAGGAAATAGAAAAGTGCCAGGATCATCATGTTTTTCAAGGAAATAAGGCTCATCATGTTTTTAAGTAGAAAAATTGGTCATCAGCCTTCAAGGAAATAGAAAAGTGGATCATCATGTTTTAAGGTAGAAAAATCAGTCAACATCCTTGAAGGAAATAGAAAAGTGGATCATCATGTTCTGAGGAAGAAAAAGTGGTCACCAGCTTTTAAGGAAATAGAAAAGTGGATCATCATGTTTTGAGGTAGAAAAATTGGTGATTAGCCTTTAAGGAAATAAAAAAGTGGATCATCATGTTTTGAAGTAAAAAAATTGCTAATCAGCCTTTAAGGAAATAGAAAAGTGGATCATCATATTTTTAGGTAGTAAAATCAGTCAGCAGCCTTGAAGGAAAAAGAGAAGTGGATCATCATGTTTTGAGGTAGAAAAATTGGTCAACATCTTTCAAGGAAATAATAAAGTGGATCATCATGTTTTTTAAGTAGAGATTGGTCTACAGCCTTGAAGGAAATAGAAAAGTGGATCACATTTAGAGGTAGAAAAATTGGTAAACATCCTTCAAGGAAATAGAAAAGTGGATCATCATGTTTTGAAGTAGAAAAATTGTTCATCACCCTTCAAGGAAATAGAAAAACGGATCATCATGTTTTGAGGTAGAAAAATTGGTCAACAGCCTTGAAGGAAATAGAAAAGTGGATCATCATGTTTTGAAGTAGAAAAATTGTTCATCAACCTTTAAGGAAATAGAAAAATGGAATATCATGTTTTGAGGTAGAAAAATTGGTAATCAGCCTTTAAGGAAATAGAAAAGTGGATCATCATGTTTTGATATAGAAAAATCGGTCAACATCCTTGAAATATTTAGAAAAGTGGATCATCATGTTTTGAGGTAGAAAAATCGGTGATCAGTCTTGAAGGAAATAGAAAAGTGGATCATCATGTTCTGTTTCTTTGTTTGGATTTTTTACGGCACATCAACAGTCAACACATAACTGGCCATATTGTGCCGAACATCATGTTCTGAGGTAGAAAAATCGGTCAAAAGCCTTGAAGGAAATAGAAAAGTGGATCATCATGTTCTGAGGTAGAAAAATCGGTCATAAGCTTTTAAGGAAATAGAAAAGTGGATCATCATGTTTTGAGGTAGAAAAATCGGTCAACATCCTTGAAGAAAATAGAAAAGTGGATCATCATGTTCTGAGGTAAAAAAATCGGTCATCAGCTTTTAAGGAAATAGAAAAGTGGATCATCATGTTTTGGGACAGAAAAATTGGTCAACATCCTTCAAGGAAATAATAAAAAGGATCATCATGTTCTGAGATAGAAAAATAGGTAATCAGCTTTTAAGGAAATAGAAAAGTGGATCATTATGTTTTGGGGTAGTAAAATTGGTCAACAGCCTTTAAGGAAATAGAAAAGTGGATCATCATGTTTTGATATAGAAAAATCGGTCAACATCCTTGAAGTATTTAGAAAAGTGGATCATCATGTTTTGAGGTAGAAAAATCGGTGATCAGCCTTGAAATATTTAGAAAAGTGGATCATCATGTTTTGTTTCTTTGTTTGGATTTTTTACGGCACATCAACATTCAACACATAACTGGCCATATTGTGCCGATCATCATGTTCTGAGGTAGAAAAATCGGTCAAAAGCCTTGAAGGAAATAGAAAAGTGGATCATCATGTTCTGAGGTAGAAAAATCGGTCATCAGCTTTTAAGGAAATAGAAAAGTGGATCATCATGTTTTGAGGTAGAAAAATCGGTCAACATCCTTCAAGGAAATAATAAAAAGGATCATCATGTTCTGAGATAGAAAAATTGGTAATCAGCTTTTAAGGAAATAGAAAAGTGGATCATTATGTTTTGGGGTAGGAAAATTGGTCAACATCCTTCAAGGAAATAATAAAGTGGATCATCATGTTTTTAAGTAGAAAAATTGGTCATCAGCCTTTAAGGAAATAGAAAAGTGGATCATATTTTGAGGTAGAAAAATTGGTCAACAGCTTTTTAGATAATAGAAAAGTGGATCATCCTGTTTTGAGGTAGAAAATTTAGTAAACATCCTTCAAGGAAATAGAAAAGTGGATCATCATGTTTTGAAGTAGAAAAATTGGTCAACAGCCTTTAAGGAAATAGAAAAGTGGATCATCATGTTTTGAGGTAGAAAAATTGGTAAACATCCTTCAAGGAAATAGAAAAGTGGATCATCATGTTTTGAAGTAGAAAAATTGGTCATCAGCCTTTAAGGAAATAGAAAAGTGGATCATCATGTTTTGAGGTAGAAAAATTGGTAAACAGCCTTTATTAAAGGAAATAGAAAAGTGGATCATCATGTTTTGAAGTAGAAAAATTGGTCAACAGCCTTTAAGGAAATAGAAAAGTGGATCATCATGTTTTGAGGTAGAAAAATTGGTCATCAGCCTTTAAAGAAAAGAAAAAGTGGATCATGGTTTGAGGTAGAAAAATTTGTCAACATCCTTCAAGGAAATAGAAAAGTGGATCATTATGTTTGAGGTAGAAAAATTGGTTATCAGCCTTTAAGGAAATAGAAAAGTGGATCATCATGTTTTGAGGTAGAAAATTGGTCATCAGCCTTTAAGGAAAAATGGATCATCATGTTTGGGAGGAAGAAAAATTGGTCAACAGTCTTGAAGGAAATAAAAATATATATCATCATGATTTGTGGTAAAAAAAAGGTTGACAACAATCTTCAAGGAAATAGAAAAGTGGGTCATAATGTTTTAAGGAAGAAAATTATGTACTCAACAGCCTAATTGTTCAAGAAAACCAGTCGAGCACCTTCTGTTGACTGGTGAATTATTTTCAGTCAATGATTGTGGAGTCTTCTGGTGAAGAATTGCACCATGGCATTGTCGGTTCACCACAGAAGTAATAAACATTTAAAAAGATATCTTACAAAAAAAGTAATTGGGCTACACAGAGAATTATGCGTTTATGATAAGAGGGCATGCTTGCAAGTAATATTCAATATACATGTCCTTAAACAGCAACAGCCTAGTTGTCCCAAGAAAACCAGTTGAGCACCTTCTGTTGACTGGTGTATTATTTTCAGTCAATGATTGTGAAGTCTTCTGGTGAAAAATTGCACCATGGCATTGTCTGTATAAAACAGAAGTAACATTTAAAAAGATATCTTCAAAAAAATGATTGATGGAGACTTAAACCCTTATGACAAGAGGGCATCCTTGCAAGCAATATTCAATCTGATTAGAAGTATACAGAGCACAGTGGCCATTTAGACTAATGGTTTCTCTTTAGGTTGCCAAATTAACGAGCATTCCCAACAATTTAACTTGTATCAGTGGACAAAGGGTCATAACTCCTACACATTCCACTATATCCAGTTCTGTGGGGTTGAGATTGAGGATAATTGGAGCCAGTCGCAAATTTGGAAAGACCATTTCGGCTCAACATTGGCAAAATTCCATATTTCAAATCGATAGACTTATACCATGTATACTAACAGAACAAGGATATATAATTATATGCATAATTTGTATATTTGTGTTCATTGGAAATGTACAGATTTTTTTTCTCGGCCTTCAAATTCTGTTTCACTCAAATATATAAAGATAATACAAGAAGAAAATATTCAATTTACAATAGCAGAAAATATTCAATTTGCAATAGCAGAAAATAGTTAGTTGGAGAAAGGAGAAAGTATTCAATTGGGGACAAAAGATATTCATTTGGAGATAGGAGAAAATAAGCAATTAGAGGCAGAAGAAAATGTTCAATTGAGGACAGAAGATATTCATTTGGAGATAGGAGAAAATAATCAATTAGAGGCAGAAGAAAATGTTCAATTGGGGACAAAAGATATTCATTTGGAGATAGGAGAAAATAATCAATTAGAGAAAGCAGAAAATGTTCAGTTGAGAACAGAAGATATTCATTTGGAGATAGGAGAAAATAATCAATTAGAAACAGAAGAAAATGTTCAATTGAGGACAAAAGATATTCATTTGGAGATAGGAGAAAATAATCAATTAGAGGCAAAAGAAAATGTTCAATTGAGGACAGAAGATATTCATTTGGAGATAGGAGAAAATAATCAATTAGAGGCAGAAGAAAATGTTCAATTGAGGACAGAAGATATTCATTTGGAGATAGGAGAAAATAATCAATTAGAGGCAGAAGAAAATGTTCAATTGAGGACAGAAGATATTCATTTGGAGATAGGAGAAAAAATCAATTAGAGACAGCAGAAAAATGTTCAATTGAGGACAGAAGATATTCATTTGGAGATTAGGAGAAAATAATCAATTAGAGGCAGAAGAAAATGTTCAATTGAGGATGGAAGATATTCATTTGGAGATAGGAGAAAATAATCAATTAGAGGCAGCAGAAAATGTTCAATTGAGGACAGAAGATATTCATTTGGAGATAGGAGAAAATAATCAATTAGAGGCAGAAGAAAATGTTCAATTGAGGACAGAAGATATTCATTTGGAGATAGGAGAAAATAATCAATTAGAGGCAGAAGAAAATGTTCAATTGAGGACAGAAGATATTCATTTGGAGATAGGAGAAAATAATCAATTAGAGGCAGAAGAAAATGTTCAATTGAGGATGGAAGATATTCATTTGGAGATAGGAGAAAATAATCAATTTGGGGCAGAAGAAAATGTTCAATTGAGGACAGAAGATATTCATTTGGAGATAGGAGAAAATTATCAATTAGGGAGAGAAGAAAATGTTCAATGGAGGACAGAAGGTATTCATTTGGAGATAGGAGAAAATAATCAATTAGAGGCAAAAGAAAATGTTCAATTGAGGACAGAAGATATTCATTTGGAGACAGGAGAAAATAAGCAATTAGACGCAAAGAATATGTTCAAATGGGAACAGAATATTTTTATTTGAAGGCAGGAGAAAATAATCAATTAGAGGAAAAAGAAAATATTTGAGAAAACATTCAGTGGGACAATATGCAGAATTATTGACGAAACATTCAGTACCTAATGATGTTTGTTATGTTAACCCTGAATACATTTGGTGTTGCCATCTCTCTTACCTTTGAATTCTATAATTAGCACTTCATATAATATATATTTTTAATTTTTATTACATAGCAGATTGCTAAAAACGTAAAAAAAAACTAGAGGGAGGACAGAAAGAAATAATTATGTGTAGAGTATAAGATTTAGTATTTTATTTCGACATCATGAAAACATTTCAATAGTCTAATTGTCCGTACCATTTACATAGCAAATGTACAAAAACATCTATAAAACAAATGAATATTATACATACAGTGTAGGTATAGCACTACTTAAACATCCAACAAACAATATATATATAACAAGTACTGGTAGAAATATGTATATAGGACACTAATGTCCCCACATTCAACTGTTTTATCTACAGACGGACAGACAGCCGGGCAGACGGATATGGACCAATCTATAAGTGGGGGCATAAAAAGATACTTGCGTAAAACAATTCTAACTGCTTTTTCAAAATGTTACATTTTCTTGTCAGGGGATGCAAAAATTCCAAAGAAAAAGATCTTTATCCATTTTAAGACTAAGAATAAATATTGATTTATATCTACGTAAGAAATATACTCAAAATAAAATAAAATGTGTGTATACTTGAAATGTCATATATATATCTGTACCAACAAGTCTTATATCTGAATATATTGAACAGAGTTATGTAGCACCATGCGTCAAAGCATTACAAAAAAAAGTAAACAATAGCTGTCAGACAGTTGGCACCCTAAACTACTTTCAGGTTGCTGCTTGTAAAACTTTAGCCCTGCAGAAATTTTCTAGACCTACAGAAGGGAATAGTTCATTAAAAATGCATGCTACAGTTACGTGTCTTGGTAAATGATACTACAAATTTTACTTAAGAGACAAGAATGAAGCTTCAGTCATACACTCTCAATGATTGAAGACATAGAACTTACACCGAAAAGGTTAAACCAGTAATTTGTAAGTTGCCAAAGAAAATCTTATGTATAATCCAGTAAAAATGTATAGTTACGTGTCTTGACCTATGACCTAAACAAATGATACTGAGCACATATCAAGTGAATACCCTCTGTGTCAAATAAATATGAAGACACCTGCAAGTTCTTACTCAAATGTTATTTCATGAGTAGCATATAAAGCACTGGTAAACTATGAAAAGTCCAGCTGAAATCATTTCGGTTTATCTGCCATTGAAGCAAAGATGTTAAGAAATCATGATATATGAGGACTTGGTTGAACACAGTAAGTTATTACATCTCTTTTACCTGGTTAGGAAACTACCCGCCTATATGACTGAAATACTGTTGAGAAAAGGCGTAAAATGAAACAAACAAACAAATTACCTTATTCAAATTATGAAAGACATGTACATTTATCATGTTTTTCTATAGACTACTTTTAACCTCTTACCTAAAAATCTTAAATGGAAATTGCCAATCTTTTAAGTCATCTTTCAATCGAGAAAGAACATCAATGTATGGGAAAGGTAAAAAAAGTATACAAAATAAGAACTGACTGAATAGCAAACAGTGAAGACTATAATTAGATGGCCAATACATGCGGAATGATCTAAGTTTGCAATGGTCACATGGGCAGAATCAGGCTTAGGGCTAAATATAGCCTGTAATTATTTTTCTCTACAAACAGAATATGGCAAGAAATTAATCATCAAACATGTATAAGTGTACCTTACTCTAGTCTAGGACTTCTGTAAAAATATCTGTAAAAATATCTATTGTACAATTATAAATATAGGCAAATTATTCTAAATGGAAATAATGCTAGCATTGTCTGTCCACAATAACATTTCCATCTTTATCCTTAACACGTAATCTTCCATTGGAATATCTGGTTTCCTGGCGACCATCTGGGTATACTGTTTTGACAGTGCCATCCGGGTATTCTCGTTTCTGAAAAAAGTAAATTTTTGATTAAAATTTTCTTTTCATTTCATTCAAAATTTGCAGAAAAAATTTATACATTGAATGACTGCATAAGGATTAACATGAAATACTGACAGTTCCTTTATTATTGTGTTCTAACGAAGGTCCATTTGCTCTTTAACATTGTAAGTCCTATAATATGGTCATACCCTGAGTAGAACATGGACTTACAATGTTTCCAGATAGTCACCTTAACCACTTGGCATAACTCCGCTTTTACTAGGCTGCAATTCCCCTTAAACAGGCCACCATCCCTGTTTCACTAGAAAAAATAACGCCTTTTACTTTCAAGGCTACCACTCCCTTTTAATTAACCAACAAAACCCATTTCACCAGAAAACACCTCAGCTTTCACTGGGCCTTTCTCCCCTTTAACTATCTTTGAAACCACTCCCCTTTCATTAGGTCACCACTCCCCTTTTGAATATCTAGGCCATCTTGTTCCCCTTTTCACTAGGATGCAATTTCCCATTTTTCTTGGCTACATTCTGTTTTCACTAGGGGATGCCTTCACTTTCACTTGGCCACCACTTCACTTTTACTAAGAACCCCCCCCCCCCCCCATTCACTAAGCTCAAATTCCTCTCTCGCTAGGACACCATTCCCATTTCACTTATAAACAACTATTCTTTTAGTAGAGCACCTATCCTCTTTCACATGGCCCCTTACCCTAGAACATTGATTCACTTTCATGTGTACAAAATATATCAAACCTTATATTCCTGAGTATGTATTTCTCTCTGCCCATTGGGAAATTCCATCGTTTTATCACCATTCTTTTCAAGACGTATAACTGTACCATCTGGGAATATACTTTCCTCGGAGCCATTTGGAAATATATATTTGATTGTCTGGTCTGGAAATGTTATCTCCTTGGTGCCATCAGGGTACAGTTTCTCGGTTTGTTGACTGAAAATAATAAAACATCAGTCAGGATTTGTGTTACATGTTTAAATTCCCTTTCCAGTCAAATGTTATGGACTTTTTCTGCATTGAAATTAAAAAATTTCATTTATAATTCCAATTATTGCATTTAACAATATTTGCTGTTTATCTTCGATTGCCTCAATTCAAAGTTCAAGGGAAGTAACCTGTACTGTCATAAATCAAATGTTCAAGGGAGGTAATATCATTTTGACCTATGACCCTATATCATGCTGGCGGTATATCCCAGAATGCAATTCCCCATCAGCTTTCTTTTTCCTGCAAAATCTCAGAGAATAAAGTTGGGAATCTTATGTAATTAGTTGTTTTTTTTGCTTTTTCTCCATTCTGAAACAGGTTTGATAAACAGACCTTTGTCCAATTGCTAGAGATTTCCAAAATAAAATAATCTCATTCTTTTCCAATTTACAGAATTCTACTATTCAAAATTTTCAGAATCATTCCAAAAAAAGTGTACATAGTACAAAGGCATGTTTGGCTCAATAATACTTACTTTGGAAACTGTATAATTTCAAGGCCATCTGGATAGTTAGTGTGAGTGGTTTGGTTCTCAGAGTAGTAATATATCTACAAAAGTTAAAAATAGATCCATAAATACTAGAAACTCTTTTCCATTATTAGAATATTTCTTCAAATTTAAGATGCACCGAGACATAGTAGCAATTGTATTGAGTCTATTCAGAGTATGACTGCAGTTTTTATTTCATCAAGGAAGCCATGAAATTTCATGTGGCAAAACTACAAAGGAAAACAGTCTACATGTTATGTATTTTGTATTAGAAAAATGTGATACTTTGGGATAAATTTAATGGAGAGAAATAACTTGAATGGTGTCAAATGACACTTGAGTATAACATGATGTCACTGTGATATCATGTAAATCTTTATCCATTGAGAAATCTATTTTTCTTTTAACTTCAAACTTTATCATAGAAAAAGAATACAAAATGGTTTCAAACAATCAAATTAAGTAAAGAATGAATAAAACAAAAACAATAAAAAAATTTATTTAAGTCATAAAAAGCATTTTTTAATTGGGTTTTAGGTCACATCAACTATTTTCCTGCTTTCCCAAAACCCTGGAAACCAATTCTATACTTTAATTCAAGCTTTTGTCAGTCACTGAGTAAAAGCAATAAACTTCTGTATGCAAGCTAGAAAGGTGCCTCACAAAGCAGACGTGAAAACTTATTTTAACAGTACAGATTATCATAACTAAATTACCACTCTTTGATCAGGCATAATCTGCTTCATGTCCCCATTGAAGAATGACACAATAATTGATTTTCCATCTGCTGAGATTTCTTTCCTCGTACCATTTGAAAACAAAATTTCTCTAGCACCATTTCTGTACGTTCTCTCTACCTAAAGTCATAATGAGGTGACAAGTTGATTCTTCATCACAGGCAATAGAAATTGATGAGAGGATTGTTTCCTGTGATTACTGGCAAATGATGCCCATATTGCTAAATTTTGGCCATATCAGCAAGTGTTGGCCATATTGGCAAATGTTGGCCATAATGGTAAATGTTGGACATATTGGCATATGTTGGCCACATTGGTACATGTTAGCCTTATCAGTAAATTTTGGCCACATCGGCAAATGTTGACCACAATAATAAATGTTGGTCATATTGCCAAATGTTGGCCATATTGACAAATGTTGACCATAACGATAAATGTTTGCCATATTGCCAAATGTTTGCCATATTTCCAAATGTTGGCCATATTGACAAATGTTGACCACAATAATAAATGTTGGCCATATTGCCAAATGTTGGCCATATTGCCAAATGTTTGCCATATTACCAAATGTTGGCCATGTTGACCACAATAATAAATGTTGGCCATATTGCCAAATGTTTGCCATATTGCCAAATGTTGGCCATACTGACAAATGTTGACCACAATAATAAATGTTGGCCACATTGGCAAATGTTGACAACAATAATTAATGTTGACCATATCGCCAAATGTTGGCCATATTGACAAATGTTGGCCATATTGACAAATGTTGACCACAATAATAAATGTTGGCCACATCGGCAAATGTTGACCACAATAATAAATGTTGGCCATATCGCCAAATGCTGGCCATATCAGTAAATGTTGACAAATGTTGGCCTTACCTGCAAATGTTGGGCCTTCTGCAAATGATGGCCAAAGCTTCTGGCAATTAATAGTAAGGTAATTCAAACATAAACCTTAAACTTATAATTAATTTGGTTAAAGTGAGCCTAGTGTCATTTTCAACTTGAAAAAAAAATTCCTATATACATGTATAATAGACAATTAAACTTAATAGTGGTCACCTGCAGACTTTTATTATGATCATACCTTTCCATCGCTGTGCTGAATCTCGTCATACTCGTCATTATCTCCCTTATCTATCACAGATTTATCTACACCTGGTCTTCCGGCCAATTTCCGTGGCATGTTGGCAGGCGCAGATACAATGTCGCCGTCAGTCTCGGAATATATACTCAAACTACCAAACAAAAAACAAACATCAGTATATCAAAATGCAATGCAAACACAATAATTTTTCTAGTTCCGTTTTATTCTAAAATGTATCAGGGATGGTGATAAAATTATACACCATACATAATCAATTACTTATCCATTACTTGCATAAATTTCATTTTATTAATTAATTATTAATTACACTAATACAGCAGTAGAAGCCCATATAAATGCAAAATTACTAAAAACATAATTTATTATGAAGTATGAAACTTTGAACAATAGACTTCAGACTGTATTAAAGGAAAAACAAGCATAACAACATGGTGATTTATTCACACAATTCGCAGTGAAAGTGGAAAACATTGGAATGACTGGGTTCCACATGGTTGCCAAAAGCATATTTTCATCTAAGATGTTTTGTAACTTTTTTTGAGACGGTCCATAGCACAAGAGAACAGTTTTGAGTGAACTTGTGGCAATTTTGAGCCATTAAGAAAACATTACTGAAGAGATCACAGGTAATTGTATACAGAACTTCCATACCATTCTTGGGGGAGAGCAAAATAATTGCTGAAGCATCCTAAGGTGATTGAAAAATTGATGTTATACAGAGTTAAATTATCAACTATCTTAACAGTTTACTTACTCCTGTGGTTCTGCCATTGTCCCAAGTTCCCGCCTTGGGAGATCCTCGGCTAAAGAATTGCGTAGCACATTTTTACTGTCACTAGAATTTGAGCTTTTTCCAGAAGTCCCACTATTGTTACCTCTACCTGTAACCTTATGACCTGGTTTGTGACCTTGACCATGCACTTGATGACCTGGCTTTGCACTATGGGTATTAAGTTTCTTAGACTGGTTCACTTTTGAATTAGTATGGTTCACAGTTGTTTTTGCAGACTGGTTAACATTCAAATGTTTATTATGTGTAGACTGTGCCTGATTATGACCTGATTGTTTAGCTGGTGGTTGAAAAGTTGAGCGAATGTTTACTTTCGTCTGCTGCTGCGTCTGCTGCTGCTGCTGGGCAGCTTTGTGACTAGAATTTGAGCGCATGGTGGTGGATGCAGACAGATCTGTAAAGGGAGACAATACATGATGTACAAAGATTGTAGTTCTCATAATAATGCCACTGATGGTTCTACAACCGTCTGCATATTTTCAACAGAAGGCTATATCATCAAATAAATCTGCTTAAAACATGGGCCAAAACATATACTTAGAATAATAATTCATCATTAATATAGCTATATGTCATTTCTAATAAATTTGTCCGAGGACTTCTGCACTGGGGCTACATTAAAAAGTACCTTGCTTATAAAATTATATGAAAATAATATCACAAACATTTTGAACACTACATATACCTATAACATTTCAAAAATAATTATACAATAGGTGCCAGTCACAAAGTACAGTTGTCTTTTTCATTTTTTTGATAGAAAATAGAAGCCTTGCTTGTGGCTGTGTGGCCGAGTGGTTAAAAAATCAGACTAGTAATTTAAGAATTACTGGCCTTGTGGGTTCAAACCTAGTCATGTGTTGTTTCCTTTAGCAAGAAACTTTACATTCATTGCTCAGTACTGGTTGGTTCCAGGAGTGGATTAAAAAGTGTTTCAATGAGCTTATAGCTTCCAACACAATCAAACTTAAATGAAGTTAGAGGAAATAAAATAGAAGCCTGGATAAAAAAGGCTCACAAAGGGATATCTTTCAGTCAAAATACATGCTTATGTGTCATGGGTCTTTGAATGTCACCTACAATTATGACCCAAAAAGACAAGTATAAAGTTTCAAATGAATTCCTTCAATGAGATGAATTTACACCAAAACTTTAGGGAAGTGTTATGCTGTTAAGCACTGGTGAGAAAAATTTCAAACAGTCTAATACAATGTAAATGCAATACCTTCAACACTTTTATAGTTTATTCTCAACCGCTTTTATAAGAAAACCCAAGACAGAGTCTAAAACAAAACTGACAAAAAAACATGTATATACCATTGTAACCATGTTCAACAAAACCATTTGTAAGTTGTTCAAGCTCCTCTGTCGGTGTACTGCTGCGTAACACATTCTGTCCACCTGGCCGTGCCTTGTTCTGAAAAAAAAATTTGAGAAAATTTATCATTTGATAAACAAGACGCTTTGTAAACATGAATTCTCCTGTTGAAGAATATGTTGTTATAGTGAAACTTACTAAATTTTGAAAATTTTACACAATTTTAAGGACAATTTAAATTAAATTTAACACAACAGCTCATTCTGGTGAGCTAAAAAAAATCATGGACTGAAAAATGAAGTATCCCCTATTTATCACTGCTATTGATCATATAAACTAAAAGTGTCTAATACCTTTTGATCTTTCTGCATCCATTCAAGACGTTTCTTCTCGAGAAGTTTAATCTCCTCTTTTAATTCCTCATTTTCTTGTTCTAAATGATCTATCTTGTCACGTAGGCGAGCGTTGTTGGCCGTCCAGCGGCCCTCTTTACGCTTCATCTCCTCTTGTAGTTCACACACCTGGTATAATATCAGTTAATTATATTTGTAATTACATTTGTGAATTTATATCATATTAGTTAGTTATCAGTTATGATATGAATAACATCACTAGTTGTTTAGCACAACAATTTTTACTTTTAACCAGAAGCAACCAGTATAAATCTCGAACAAATTAAAAGAAAACTGTCATAATACAAGGTTTTCAGGGAGTCTAACAAATGTGAAGAAAACAAAGGGCCATTATTCTGCCAAAAATGATCAATCAGCCTATCATGACAATCTGTGGCTTGACACTTGATGACAAACATTCTGTGAAAGTTTTATTGAAATCCATAAACAATAAGAGCTGTGCATGGAACAAATTTTCTTATACCCAGGGACCATCTAATATCAACCAATCTTATGGCCAGTGTTTTCCCCTGGAAATTTCAACGTTTACTTTTTCTTAGGCATTTCTGCTCTATCAGTTACTAGTACTTGGACAAATATCTGCCTTGAATAAAACACACCTGTGCCTTAAGGTTTTCTATTTCTTCCCTTTCTTTCTTGTCTGGACCTGCTCTAGCAGCTTTCTGATACTTGTCAAACATCTTCTTCTCATGCCTGTAAAGTAACATCATCTTTTCAAGTTCAAGAACTGGTAAAAATTTTAATTTTGTAGATATCTAGACAGCAATACAAATGTATTAAGAGCTTTAAGAATTTATTAAATATTCCAAACTGCTAGACCAGTTCTCTCATAACAAGTCATGTAAAGCAAAAAACGGAGATTAAATCATCATTAAAATGTAACAGAAATAACTGAGAAGAAAGAAATCTGAAAATTTGTGCGTGCCGATTTAGTTTATGTATTACGGTAAATAACCGAAATAATGGAATTTACATTTTATGAAATATCGCTCACAGTAAGAATTCTGCAAGTTCAATTACTCACAAATAAAACAAAAGGCAAACTTAAAGAAACTGGAAAATTGTCGCCATTTCAAAAAAGAAACCAGAAAATCATTGGTATTTCAGAAAATTCACGAATTTAGGAAGATCCACTGAGATCATGGTATTGCATGTAAAATATAAACAACACAATGCTAAACAGTAGACTAGAGTTTTTTTTCCGATGGTTTTTACATTAACTGAGTTACTATTAATTTTTGTAAGTGTGACTGTCGATCCAGTGATCTTAGGACTAACAAATATCAGTCTGTATCCATATTGTCAATACCTAATTGTGAATTTTTTTTTATTTTTTTTTTTATTTGGGCTTTACGTCACAGTATAGGTCATTTGGCAACGTTCCAGTTTTACTGGTGGAGGAAAACCTCAGATGCCCCTCCGTGCATTTTTTCAGGCACGAATTGTGAATAATCAAGATTATTACAGCCCTAAACACTGACCAGTAAATATCTAAATACTGATTAAACCGTGTTGTTATACGTAACAAACATATAAAAAACATACTTCAGTTTTTTCATTTCCTCGTTTCTAAATTCTTCAATGCGTCTTAGCTCCAATGCCTTTTCCTTTTCAAAGTCCATTATTTCTTTCTTCAGAACATGCAAGCCCTGTGATAAATTATAAAATCCAGTCATATATAATACTGATCATGATAATTCTTAATCTTAAAGTAAAGAAAATAGATTCTACAGTTTTGAGAAAAATTTCATATAGATCTACAAGAATAACAAGAGATATAGATATATATGTATATGCATGTACGAGGGTTGTCCAAAAAATTTGTGCGCTGCAGTTATTGTCATGAGAGTTATTGATAGAAAAACAATAATTATATACCACTTGAAGGGGAAATCTGTCTCAAAAAAGAAAAAAAGAGAAAAAAAGTGTAACCAGCATGTCGTGAAAAAGAATCGTCAGACAGTTGGTAATGTAATACCGGTGCATGTCAAAAAAATCGGTTAGTTCATTACTTTGATGCATCACGGTATTCTTTAAACGCTACATATGAATATTAAAATTCAGGGAAAAGTGTGTGTACACATTCCTAATGTCACTAGAAAATATGACGCCATTTTCCCTATGGTAACCGTCGTAAACAAACATTTGTGTGGTTGTCAATACTGTAATCATGTGAAAATGTCAGTCGCAAAATGTCTTGAAATATGGACGATCATTAAATTTTGTGCAAATATTGGTTAAACACCAACAGATACCTACAAAGAACTTAAAAGGGCAAGCAAGACAAGTTCAGTGTCACAAAGGCTGGATTTAAATGGCACAAACCCTCTGTAGAAGGGCAAGAGTCGGTAGACGATGACAACCGGTCAGGCAGATGTTCGTCCGTAAGTAGAACTACCAATGTTATACAAGCTGGATGGATTGCATCCTCACATGGGAGAATTATAGTTTTCCTGGTGAACTTGAATGCACTGGAGTGAGGAATGAAATAATTATGTGCATATGAAATCAGGTTTATACTCTAGCTCCTGATTGGCTGATTATGAACACACATATAATATTGACCAATAGCATTTGGACAATTCGACTGGTCCTAAGTAAACATAAGTTACTTTTCAATACATTTTTTAAATTTTCATAAAAATTACCATGAATCTGGAGGCCTGCTGCTTTAAGATACAGCCATATTATAGTTAAGAAGAAAACGTTCTATCCTCCGAAGAAAGTCATGAATAAACTGATGTGATAGTATACCTGTTCTCTCTCATTGCGTAGTGTGGCAAGATGTTTATTCTCATTCCTAAATTTCTCAATCTCTCTCTCAAGCTCTATCAATTTATCCCGCAGAATCTTAGACTGGACACCATCTCCTGAACCAGCCTGTGATACAGACTGTATCTTCTCTAAATTCTAAACAACAGAAAGTACACTATTTATAACACACCCTGTATCTAATAACTGCTAGTTCAGACACTGTGTAATTAATCACTTGACCCATACAATAAAGATATGATTTCATGACTGCATCAAACAAAAACTGTAATACATGTACATTATATGACTATGCACTTAAATTTTAATATCTTTACCCGAATTAAAAAATTACATTTGTTTTCAGAGGCATAAAATATACCTTGCATGATTAATATAGTAAAGAATTTTATTCTCATATTAACATAAATAGTCAAACACATATATCATTTCCTTTTCAGTTCAAAGTCAATCCAACACCTTGAAAGTCACTTACGGCCTCTGCCGTAACTAGTCCAGAAAAAAATATTAAGATGCCATTCCCTAAGCAATATTTCTTTCATGAGTAGAACCACCAACATTAAGCTGGATGAATAGCATCAAAGTGTTTTGAAGTCTGTGAGTGTGACCACTGGGGTCTAACACTGATATAGATACCCCATTCTTAAGTGAAACACATTCTGACAAGTGATATACAATTTGTTATTCAGGTTCTATGGTCATATAACTATTGTAAGCTATTCTTATCTAAACCACAAGGGAAGTGTTATATAACTAATAACTGTGTGTATATGACCAAGTTACCTGTCAAAAGTTTTAAAAACAGATTCATAACATTGTCTGATCACTTTTCTTTGAATAAAATTGAAAAAAAGTTCATAACATATAGATCTATATATTTATCTATCTATACATGTTTTCAGATTGCACAATAAAATCTATGTTACAAATACACAGTATTATTCTAGAGCAATACTTGTACATCTACCTGTTCCTCTTGTTTTTTCTGCGCTGGTTTAAGACTGGGGAAAAGTTTGGATACTAGTTTAGATGTGGGTGGGGTATCCTCGCCACTTTTTTCGTCGCTCTTATGCTTGCCCTGTCCTGAAAATCAGATCATGTGCAATTCTTTTACTTAATCTATAACAAACTGAATTTGTGTAATGAAATGAATTTGGAACAGTCCATTCAAAGTTTATGGAATTTTACTAGTGGCAAAGGCTTATCACTTTAAGTTTTGGTTTAGAGTTAATCACAATTTATTATAAAACCTGATTGAGAGGAGATGGTATTTCGTTTGAAATAAATTCAAGAAAAATGTTACAAAAGTATGCTATATGACATTTTCTATACAAATTATATATGAACTGACAACAAACATCAGGTTCTTTTCATTTCATGACTTAATAATACATTGTGTTCTTCTTGTAATTTGCATTAACTCTAAGCACCAAAATATAACATTACACAAATATAACTTGAGTTACACTAATATGAACATTATATAAGAGGGCCATGATGGCCCTGAAGCCGCTCACCTGTATATAGGCCCCCAGAGCGAGACCAGTTTAAACCCCAGGGCTTTTATTTGAACAAACTTGGTAGACACCCATTAGAAGATGTTTCATGCTTAACATCTAAACTCTAGCTATTTGGGTTTTTTCAAAGAAGAATTTTTAAGTTTTTGCTAAACACATATAAGGAGAATCAATGACCCCTGGGGCGGGGCCAATTTTGACCCAAGGGCTTTTATTTGAACAAACTTTGTAGACACTCACTAGAAGATGTTTCATGCTAAATATCTAAACTCTAGCTATTTGGGTTTTTTCAAAGAAGAATTTTTATGTTTTTGCTATACACATATAAGGAAAATCAATGACCCCAGGGGCGGGGCCCATTTTGACCCCAGGGCTTTTATTTGAACAAACTTTGTAGACACTCGCTAGAAGATGTTTCATACTAAATATCTAAACTCTAGCTATTTGGGTTTTTTCAAAGAAGAATTTTTATGTTTTTGCTATACACATATAAGGAAAATCAATGACCCCCGGGGCGACCAATTTTGACCCCAGGGCTTTTATTTGAACAAATTTGGTAGACACCCATTAGAAGATGTTTCATGCTAAATATCTTAGCTCTAGCTCTTTGGGTTCTTTAAAACAAGATTTTTTAAGTTTTTACTATATGCATATAGGGAAAATCAATGACCCCCTGGGACGGGGCCAATTTTGAACTTTTATTTGAACAAATTTGATAGACACTAACTAGAAGATGTTTCATGCCAAATATCTTAGCTCTAACTCTTTGGGTTTTTAAAAGAAGATATTTTAAGTTTTTTCTATAGGTTGCCATCGGTTGCCATGGCAACCAGAGTTCTGCATGGAATTAAATTCTTTGAACAATTTTTAAAGGTGACCACCAAATGAACATTCCTGTGAAGTTTGAATGAAATTGGCTTAGTGGTTTATGAGGAGATGTCATTTAAAGTAAAAGTTTACGGACGGACGGAGGTTCTCACAGAACAGTAATTATGTGGCTACTCCATTGTTGTCTCTATTGTTCTTTTTAGCCACACAAAAGAAAATAGCCACATAAAAGCATTACGGAATGAATGACATCAAAAAGAAAGAACAGTTACCTATTGTCCCTCTAGCCACATAATTACTGTCCTGTGAGTGCGGACGACGGACGGACACCTGACGAAAAGCGATCACAAAAGCTCACCCTGTCACTTTGTGACAGGTGAGCTAATAAAAAAAATTGAGTATCACCTTTTTATGTTATTAGAGTTTTCTCATAGTAACTATAGAAAATCTGCTATTGGCAAAATTTCAAAAATCCAGTTTATCATATTTCTGACCCATTTTGAAAACAAAACTTATTAATTAGTAATTTTTAAACATTAAACCTTAGAGAGCATATCATAACCTACTAGTATCTTCTTTATCCACATCTGTATCTTCTACGAGTGTCTTATCATTTTCATTTTCAGAATCTTTTCGTTTTCTCAATTTCAAAATTTTCGGTGTTAGCTCCCCCCATTCATCATCGTCATCAAATTGCAATGTTTTCTTCTCGCCAAAAGATTTCCGAGAATTTTTATCTCCATCATTAGATTTATCATCGTCTTCGTCACTCAAACTCCCATTATGTTTATTGCCTACAGAGTCAGAATCCGAGTGATACGAAAATTTAGTCTCTTCCTTTAGAATATCGTGTTGTATATGTGTGAAAGTTTCCGGTTTTGAAACCTTTTCTTTTGAGATAACACCCGGAGATTTTGCTTTCGGCATAAAGGCACTTCCGATTACATTAACCTGTAACATGTCTTTATCTGACGGCAGATTCTGAAACGGAAACTTATTTTTATCGTCTCTCCCGGCCACTTTCCGAGTCAACGACTTCGGTGGTTCCTTAGTTTCTACTTCTCCTTTATCGGAGAAGTCAAAATCATCATCGTCTAAATCGATTTCCTGTTCCGATTCCGATGTCTGAGAAACACTACTTGACTCAGTAAACCCTGTGTAACTTAACACTCTCTCCAGCTTTTTATCAGTTGAACACACAGAATCATTCTTCCCTTTACTATTAGTCTTTTCACTTAGCAAATTTTGAACACGGCCATCCTTTATACCGAATTGTTTAAGAACACCATACATATCATTTTGATCATTTTTATGATAGTCATCATTCTTATCATCATCATCAGTACTGGATTCATCACTTGAATCATCACTACTATCACTCACTGATTCATATTCATCACTGTTATCATCATCTATTGCAGTCTCAGCAGCATCTACTTTCACAGGTTCTTTTTTCTGCCCATCTTCTTTTTTCAGCATATTTTCCAAAGTTCTAACACCAGTATTTCTTTCACTATCTGAGTTTAACCTTAAACCTCCATGCTTCATGTTAGACTGTTCTTCCAACTGTTTTTTATGTTTGGCCTTTTTTTCTTCCTCCAATTTCTTTATTAAAGTTGCCCGAGGACTATTTGACCTTCCTATTTCTTGACTCTGTAATCACAAGAGAAATCAATCAAACCTTCAGATGAGTATGAGTTATCATATTTTCAAATGTGCAAAGTCTGACCAAACCCCTAGACCCTTACAATGTTACTTATACTAGTCCTCATGGACTATTCCTGCTTCACATTTAAAACCGCCAATTTTTACATTAAGGATTTTCATTATAAAAATGTAAAATTTTAACCAACAACATCAAGACTGGACAGACTGTAAAACTGCTTTGTGATAAAGCTAAAACCATGATGAAAAGTACCAAAATAAATTTTCAACCATATTGACCTGGCCCACAACTCATCACCCCCAACTGAAAGTCTGCCAAAAGTTTTAGGTCCATGGATGTTCCATTCACCAAAACAAGATATCGGTCATATAATAGAGCTATATGATAAATGTTAATGCATGTGTGACGACAGGAAGCATAGACAAACCAGCTACTAGTACATGTTTTATGCTCCAAACAAAAAATTGTGAACCAGTATACCCTATCAGTTAGCTCTTTAACAAATAATTGATTAATTTTAGAACTACATCTCTCGCCTAATTTGATGTACACAAAATTATTTGAAAGGTAAATCAATAATTTATCAAAAAAAATAAATCTAATTGAAAAAAAACACCAAAAAAAACCCACAAAAACCATTTATTTCACTTACTTTAGGGTTAACACCGGGTAGGATTCTATCATTCTGTAAGCCATGTAGACCTTTGGTTACTATTGAGGAGTTACTACAAAATGACATGTTGTCAGCGAAGTGTTCAAGAATCTCAAACTCGTCCAGTTCCTCCATATCTCGCTATCAATGTATAAAATAAACAATTATAAACTGAAACAAAGAAACTGTATGCCATTTTTGATATATGTTAAGCAATCATTTATTCTTTTTGCTGCCTTAAAGGTATCCTCAACATTCCCTAACCCCCACCCAGTCCCCACTGTCATTTTTTTTTTGCCAGCATGACTAGTATACCCATCCCTGGAATGACTGGAATACGACATCTGTGAATCAATTTCTTGATTTTTTTCTGCATTTTTACTATAATTTTGGTTTTGAGGTTGAAAAAAATATAACAGCTTCTCTGGCAACAAAGGCGTTAAGAAACACTATTATATAATTATGTAATTTAATAAATGAAGTGCAAACATTTGACATATATTACTTATAGTGCTAGGCATTGCAAGGAAGCTCAATTATGTGGTTCATGTAGTTTTCTACAGGCTGGCAAAGTTTTAGAAAATATTTAGTGCAACAAATAATTCAGGTATTCAGTTACCAGCCCTTTTCCCTCACCACATAGGTTTGAATAAAGTGTCTTTAAGCCATTAACATTAAATCTCTATCATTCAATTCTTGTTTACAAAAGATAGGCTATCTTCTTAATTTGTGTTACCGACTGAAATAATTTGCAAAGTGCCATCTGTGGTTTTCTTCAACTAGTAAAGCTGATTAGTCTCAAAAAGAACTTAACCAAGTCTGTGTGACTTACAACCTAAACCCAAAAAATGTTTATAGAAAGAAAAAAGAAAACATACACACAGTCTAAGAATTTAAATGTTTCGATTTCTATACCTCAGATTCTTTCTGCCTCTCTTTTAGATTAGCTACAAATGAAGCGTCATCAGGAAAAGAATCTGCACGCTTCAATTTCCCTTTCAATTGCTTGTCCTCGTTTCCTGACACGTCCTTCACCTTCGCCTGTTTTTCTGCGTCATTACCTGGAGACTTTTTAGACGCATTCTTCTTCTTTAATAAATTAAGCATAACAGTAAAATAAGGTGTGGGTGTTTTATTTGATGACAGATATAATAATATTCAACATTCTAACACAACATTTTTCTCTATTGAACATAGGACTGAAAGTGTGTGTCAATTAAAGTGTAAGGCAAAATATATTGATCCAAGTTTGTAAAGCAAAATTTATCAATCCAAGTGTAAGGCAAAATTTATCAATCCAAGTTTAAGACAAAATATAACAATCCAAGTGTAAGGCAAAATATATCAATATCCAAGTGAAAGGCAAAATTTTTCAACCTTATACGGAACTAATAAAGATGAGCAAGTATTACACTACATGTATTACACCATTTGCTGATAGCAATACAACATTAGTGACCTTGACCACTGCACAGGGAACATTTGAGCAATATAGGTGTGTAAGAAGAATGAAAGATTTTTATACAACACAATGTGTTCATACTGGCATTACAAATCACCTATCAAAGATCCAACATTTGTAAATTGTGCATTTTAAAATAATTTTGAAAGTACAGGGAAGAAAAAATGACACAAAAGTAAATCAATAGATCTTAACACTGAACCACTTAAACGTGACAATTTACTTTTTTCCCTTGAATAAAAAGCCTGTGGATAAACAAACTTTATTTTATACACCTGGAAATAAGTTAAGCACATCCCAGAAATTTAAGATTGGTTGTGATTAAAAGCACTGTTATGAGATGACGACTTAATTGATCAAAGAAATAGTAATTGATAAGTAGCGATATCAATTTAGTAATCATAAACCAGTAAATTTATGAGTTTAGTTTATTGATAAAATATTGAAAAATTTATTGAAAAATTATTGAAGCATTAGCAAATGTGTTGTTTTTTACCAAAAATGTAAGTGTTTATAAGTATGGTGTTGGGGCGTTAACAAAACATTTACTGGTGGATATTTTTGGTAAATCTTGGTAATTATGTAACCTAAAATGACCTTATGTAGCCAAATTTTTAATAACTGTGCAATCGCCACATGCTCAGATGATAGACTCAACCCTTCTCCTCATTCTACCAGTAAGGCATCTAATGCGAATTTGGGGTAACTTTTCCCATTCTTGGTGCAGAGCTTGTTCCAGTTGTTGCAGGTTGACTACAGGTGGTTCATACATTGCCCAAATAAAATTTAAAATTTCAGTTGTGGTCGTGTCAAAATTGAGGCAAAATGACTGGTGTGCTTAACTTATTTACAGGTGTATATAATAAATCCTGAAAGTGAAACAATAATATATTAACCTTATCATCAGTCTTGTGTTGCTTTGACCCATGACCTGCAACCTTCTTACCAGGTTGGTTTTTATTGCTTGTTGGTGGTTTTCCAGCGGCCTTGCTGCTGCCTGTAATATAAATATCTTATCTTGTACTTTCATAAGTCAATTGTTTTCGGAATCTTATCTACATAGAGGAATGAAAAAGCTTAAACTATAGTGAAATCTGGATTATTATTAATACAAAATTATTTTCTTACATTGCCTCTCTATCCAGTGGGTTTCAATAACCAAAATGGACTCTGTATTCTTTCATGTGAGGAAGCTATCCAGCTTGCTTACGGAACATTGGTGGTTCTACTTGTGTGCCCTGTTGAGCCTGAAATAATGCACAGAAGTCTTCCTCCACCAGTAAAGCCATAAAGTCGCCACATGACCTTCAATGTGTTGATGCGATTTAAAACCAAACAACAAAAAAATCCACTGAAAATCAACTCAAAGTTGCCTCTATTGAAATAATGGCTGCCTGATTTGTACCAATGGCGATAAGGGACAAGTGATTTGAAGTCAGACTTTAACCATTCTGCCTTAGAGGCTGTTATTCTCAGACTTACCGGGTTTTGTGTGTGCACTAGTAGTCTCTGATTTCTGTGAGGCCTGTTTACTCGATGTCTTACTAACAACACCAGCCACTGTGCTTTTCTTTTTCACTTTAGAAGGTCGCTGTCCAGGTTTGGATTCAAACCTTGCAATCCCTTCACCTTTTTTAAGGAAACTTCTTTTTGGTTGACTAGGTGAATCCACATTGGCATTTGCTGCTCTTAACTGTAAGATTGCAGAAATAAATTACATTATTACACAACAGTTTGTTTTTAGAATACCACACAATATTTCTTAAGAATATGCATTATGTATGTGCGAACATCTGGATATAACTTGTGTGATACATGTGATAGTTTTGCCAAATAAAATAATTTCAAATATGTTTGTTATTCTGATTTTTACACCGATTTTTGTCATATCTTGGTGGGAATTCACCTAACTGGTTTTCCTGAATAACCAACCAGTATTCCCAATTTCTTTTTAAGTGACCTACAATAAAAATTTGATTTAATCGTGGTAAAGACAATGACCTTTTGCCCTCAAAGCCAAAGTTTTTTATGGGATTTATGCGAACATTATAAAATATTTTTGTTTTTTTTTAAATTTTTTCTAATAGAGATTTCTTTTTAACTACACATAAATGTTAAATGTACACTTTTCCTCAAAAATGAAATGCAAAATTTAAAACTGAATAACAGTATTTCTTTTGAAAAGTTGTAAAAGCAAGCCCAATGGACTTTCCCCATTTTAAAGTTTATCAAATTTACACAAACGTGGCATGGTTGATCTTTTTTACAAAAAAAGAAAAAAAAATGGTTTTTTTTTGGGAAAAACTGTTTGTGAGAAATTGATAAGCAATGATAGAAATGTGAGTTTAATTTTTCATGCTAAAATCTGGAAGGCCCCCTTTTAAAAAAATAAAAAAGTTTCCTCTAAATGTCCACTGACTTGTTTTAACCCAAATTTAAACTCCACCCTTACTAGTGGCCTGCGGTAATATTAAAATAACACGGAATCACGGGTTTAACACCCTCTCTATCACAGCTGGGGTTTCATAAGATGACATCATCCCAATTATTAGTTTCAAATTAAAAACGAAGGGTTTAATACAAATTTCAAGAATCATTCACACTCATGTTTTAAAAAATATTTAATTTGGAGACATAAATAACGGTTGGAAAATTATAGTTAAATTTATGGGAAAAAAAAATTTTTCCCTCTCCTCTCTCCTTTAACTTTTCTTCAAAAAGTTCTTCAATGTTTTGCAGCTTCTAAACCTGGTTTAATAGGTTATATCTTAAAACCCCCCCACCCTTCCTGTGTTGTAAAGATTTCCCATGTAAATTAAAAAAATTTTTCTACCCTTAGGTAAAATTTCCCAATAGTTAACACATTATTTGCAACAGTCTAGAACTTTACTCAGAGTCTCCAGGTTAATTTGATATTGTATTATGAAAACAGGTTTAATACATTTTGTATTGGGAACTTGAACTGTATTTTGCTCATGTTTAGAGATTTCATTTGGGGCAGTCATCTAGAATTCTAGATTAGTTTTTTTCCATGTCTGTAGAAGAAAACATCAAACATAGTTTGCAATTAAAATTCATTTTTGCAAAATTGTTATAATAATTGAACAAGAATTGACCTATTTCCCCTCCCCCCATCCTCCACACAACAACAAAAAATATACAAAAAAAAAATCATTTTAGAACATGATACAGTTTCAGCTATAAAATCACCAAAACCAAACCTGAAGATTTTAACCACATGTTACACCATAAGTAAAAGCTTGAAACTCCAATAACAGTACATGTAATATGTCTGTTTGAGATAAAAAAAAATCCATACAAAAGTGTTGAAAATCGGTGTGTGTTTCAATGATATAGTTATTCATATTCCCCAAGAAACCAGTAGCCGACTGTTATTAGTAAATACCTCTATTTGAGTATCTTCTTGATTCTTCATCATCACTATCATGCACTTTTAGTCACTTGCTTATCATGCATCATTGTCATCATCATCATCATCTTCATTTCATCATCAGAATTGTTTTCATCCTCCTCCTCAATTCTTTCATTTCTATAATTCAATCAAAGAATAGTCAGAATATCAATAAAAACAGTGTTAAAACTGAGAAAGTCATAATATATGTACGTAGACTTATGTTACAATCTGAGAAAGTCATAATATCCAATATATAAACTTAATGTTACAATCTGAGAAAGTTTCATAATATCCAAATATAAAACTTATGTTTACGAATCTGAAAGAAAGTCTTAAAAATATCCAATTAAAAATTATGTTACAATCTGAGAAAGTCATAATATCCAATATATAAACTTATGTTACAATCTGAGAAAGTCATAATATCCAATATATAAACTTATGTTACAATCTGAGAAAGTCATAATATCCAATATATAAACTTATGTTACAATCTGAGAAAGTCATAATATCAGATATATAAACCTACATTACAATCTGAGAAAATCATAATATCCAATATATAAACATCCATTACAATCTGAGAAAGTCACACATTTATCCAATATTTACTTCTGTTACAATCTAAGAAAGTCACACATTTATCCAATATATAAACATCCATTACAATCTGAGAAAGTCATAATCTCCAATATTTACTTCTGTTACAATCTGAGAAAGTCACACATTTATCCAATATATAAACATCCATTACAATCTGAGAAAGTCATTATATCCAATATGTAAACTTATGTTACAATATTCTTAAGAAAAATTTTCTTCAACTACTGACACAATATCATGTTTTTACATTTTTCAAAACCTTTTAGTATCCCTGCAAAAGTTTGAGAAGCTACAGTCGTAGAGAGCTGCTAAATACATGTAGGTATAGTAACAGAATGGTAGGAAATCTGTAACTGATGGTTTACGACCATTTCCTGCTGCATAGTTTTCTCAATTCAATATCTGAGTGGGTCTAGTAAATATAACACTTAATTTACACTATTTTTGGGGGGAAGCTATGGTCCAGTTTTTTTACATGAATGATTGATTTAGGACTGAGTGGTTTCGGATTAAATCTGAGTCCTGCTAGGAGACTTATTTCAGATGAGCAAGACATATACCTACATTCACTTCAAGACAAGGCAGTATGTCAAATTAGTCAAGACTTATCACTTTTTTCAACTAGTTAATAAATGTTTTGATATAAGGACAGACAAACACAAAACATTAGTTTTATCCGGAATGAAAATCATTTTTTGCAATTCTTGTTTCAAAGAACTATGTTAGAAATGAGGGTTTAAAATTTACCTTGCATCTTGTTTTGTCCTTGGTTGATCGTCAAACATGGTTGGTGACTGGATGACAAATTTTAAGAATTCTGGGTCATGTCCAGTTCAGCAAAGATCTATGGAGCTTTTTGGGAGGCCTAAAATAATAAATAACCATGATAATAGATGATGTCATTACATGTTTTAATTATCTTTTTATTTTTCTTTTATTAAATTTTTATTAAATGTATTTGATAACACTTTCCATTTATGTTAACATTTTTGTCTATCTAATATTAGGTAATAGCAAATTCATTAGGAAAATCGAGCTTCTTACTTATAGGACGTTAACTGACTGGTACCAAGTATTTCGTTATCTTACCGAGGAAAATTTGATGAAGGAAAAATTAATAATCTTAAAGGAAAAAAACTTACATCTTTTTCATGGGATTAAATCTTTTGCTACATGAGACTGCTGCTTTATTTGTCCCTGCCTCACGGTGATGAAGTCTATTCAACGCTTGCCTCCGAGGCCGAGTCTTGGTATCGGAAACAGCCACTCCATACCAGCCTGAAATGCCTCGGTTCGATTTGTGTCACTGAATAATCCGGTGTTAGTCTTGATTTCATCATCTCTTCTTTTGGCTTAAATATATCACTGGTCTAGCGGTAACATTGCTACAACCCTGATTAAATATTGCATACATTCATTATTTAATGAGGAATTCCCCAAGCTGGTATCGAGACAGTTTGGCAAGCACACAAACAAAGACAGTGACAATGTAACCTATAAGCCTTAAACATTTTCTGAATTTATGCTTTTCATTTTTCAGGAACTGGTATACAAATGAAGATGAAAAGGTAGGTAATTGAGAGAAAACAGTAATGTTATTACTTGAGTAAATACATAATTTTTTTTTAAACTATGTAAAAGGAAGGGATGTAATGCAACAATGTCCATTCAAATTTATTTTAGTTTTGATTGTTACGAAGCTACATGTAATAAGCTTATAGGCGCAATTCAAAAAAAATTTTGGAACTAACCAAATACTGAGCAAAAGAGTGTCAATTTTCTCGTGAAACGAAACAAAAGACCTGGTGGGTGTTATACCCCCGTTGGGTAGAATCCCTTAGATTACTAGTCAAAAAAGTATTTAAAACTAAACCCTAATGCCATTTAAAATGTATTTTCAAAGAAAGAAATAGTTTTAAAATCCCACTTCAAAAAACAAAGTTATGGGGGCCCGGGCCGATTTTGCTGCAAGGTCTATGAACCCGACCTTCAAGGTAGCAACCCAAATTGTGTGCAGCAATATCCCAAAATGGTGTCATTTCTGTGAAAATAGTTGTAAAAAACCGACTTAAATAAAGAAGTTTTGGGCCGAACAAAGAATTTGGGGGCGTATAGAGGGGCCCTACGGACAAAACCCCCCGCTATATCTCCCCCCATTTTTGGGGAGCAAATTATACGTGTTCCATTTTGGTAAGGTGAGAATACATTAATTGAAATCCCCGACCCACTGTGGTTATTCAATTTTGGGTTTCATTTTTTGATATTCTTTTCCGGAGGTAACTGCGACGTGGCGGTTCTCGTGTTCCCTATAATTTTAAAGTCCGCCCCGTATATAAAAACAAAACTAATTTTATCTCAAATTAAAAAGAATATTCCTCATCTCAAACTAATTGTTACATTGTATTAAAAATAAAACACACTGAAAATAAAAAAAAATTTCCCCTTTGGGCCATTTGAGTGAAAAAATTAAAATGATCCCTTTTCTAAAATTTGTTCCAAAAATTTTAAAAAATGTTTTTTGACTTTTAAAGGAGGTGGACTAATTTTTTTAAGGAAAAATTATTTATTTCAAAAATTTGATCTTGAAAGCTTTGTACTTACTAAAAATATACTGTAAAAATTAGGATGAAAATTGCATTTTTTTAATTAAAAAACCAACTTCTAATTTCTTTACATGTACCCCTTACAGGACTTATTTATCAAGTCTTGGATAGACAAGTGTTTGTATCACCTACTATATAAGGCTAATAAACGCCCTTTTCTTCTGGGCCGTTGAGACCCCAGAAGAGAATGAAATGACCTAGTCTTAAACTAGAGAAATACTTTGGTGGTTAAAAGCTTGTATGCATTATATTTTAAAGGATTGTGCACAATGTAAAGAAGTGATTATGTTATCCCCCCTGATTTTCTTCTGTTTTGTTAGCCTTTCATTTTTCCTGTTTTTCCGTAAAAGGATAAGTTTTGTTTGTTGTTGTTTCACAGAATTCCTGTTGTTGGTGGCTCACTGACGTAACTCCTTAAATCTTTGCAATAAACGAGCCTGTCCCCATAGCCTGCTGTTGTTCAATCAAATCACGACCTATCTGTAATAAAAAAAAAAAACAAATATACATAGTCTCTAACTTGTACCATAACATATGAAGATCTTCTTTATAATTATGAATATGTCACATGTATATTTTTACACTACATCAGTTATGAAAAAACTTATTGTCTTATTGGGAATATGCAATGTGACAAGACTATTGTACCTATCTTACGCTATGGGAATAGAAATTTGTTTTGTGAGCATGCTTTAAATTTTTTTGTGAAAAAAAAATTCCCTCAAAGAATTTCTCAGTTGGTCATTGAACAATGTGGATTTGATGAAATCACTAAATTTTATCAATCACCCAATAAGGAAAAACCTGGAATCCTCCAGATAAATTTTTTCCGATTGAAACAGTATACTCAAAAGATTCTTGGCAAAGACGAAGTGATCAAAAAACTCAGTTTATGGGTTTAGGTTGATAGTCATTATAAATTATGTTTCTTGTGTAGTGTACTGAATAATTTACCCACCATTTCTTATTTGGGAAGGCATCGTCTGATCTATTGGGAAAGTACACTCGTTTGCAACGGCTCTCATCATGCCTTGTTGTTGTTGTTGTTGTTTGCGCTCATCATCCCGCTCAAATTCCATTGTCTGCATGAAACATCTGACTTGGTATGTATATACAGGGGGTTCCTCCGCGCATTGGAACTTGGTGTTGAACATTGTTTAAGAGGTTGCGGGACACCATTGAACCATCTTTGATGTCGTGGTTGGCCAGGTTGAAGAGCGTGAAGCTTTTGTTCAATATTTTGGGTGGAGTTTCACATAGTCTGTGCTGCTGCCCATCGGTCGAGTTTTGGCCAAATGGTGGCCTTGATCCAAATGAAATTATCCATTAATTTATGTAAATCTCCAGTGCGTTATAGTTAGTAGCCTACCCCATTTTTATTATTTATGTGAAATCACTTGAAAACAAAAGACCGTGGGCATAATGCTTCAGCTTTGATGCAAAACTTGAATAATTTTTGCCTTAAGACTGACAAGTTTTTCAATTTTTGAATAACAAAATAATTTTCTTGAAAAATTAAGAAAAACATCAAATATTTAAATCACGTGAAAAATATACCGGATTAAGAGAGTACAGATTTTTCAAAACACCATTATAATGACCCGAAATGAATAAAATCATTTCAAATTCCGCCTCCAAATCAAACAGTTGTTTTTCCTGAGAGAGAAATTAAAGAAAACAAGCAGTTTTTAACAAAATAAGCGTCACGAAAACATAAAAAAATTAACACTCAAAAATTAACATTCTTTTCATGAAATTTATAAAGATTTCTTTCAAATCGTTCATCTGTCAATGAAAAAATGGGAAAAATACCCCTTGACAACAAAAATGTTTTACAAATGTCCGCCATTAAAAATGGAAAAGGGCGAAAGTCTATAATAGATTTTACAAGGTACTCGTCTATACAGATTTGAAAGTCGTAAAATCTGCATGAGTGTCGTGAAAGTAAATATAGATCTACTGTTAGGAATAAAAGATACGTTTTTCTGAAACTTTTCATTTTCATGAAAAATAAATTAGGTTTTTATAAGGAAATATTTGAACAAAAACATAAAAAATTTTCATTACCGCATGTACTGAAAAAGGTTCATGACGCACCAAAAATTTTACTATTGATATTTTGTCTATACAGATTTGACTGAATATCCTTATATGTGTCCTGATTTTAAAGATCTTACCAAGTTATGTGTACTAAAAAACTTAACTTCACTAATTTTACTATATTTCACCCTATATAATGGTTCTTATACAGACTTCAACCAGAGTTCATTCCGTATGATCAATAGACCACTGTCTATATTTATTTGAAAATATTTTATCATAATAATGTGTCTTACAATTTCACCAAAATTTCTTCGGTATGATTGTCTTTTCAGATTTTACCAAATTCATT